ATCCGTGAATACATCGTCAATACTACACAGATTTGTATACACTACATCCCTTCATCATCCGTGAATACATCGTCAATACTACACAGCTTTGTATACACTTTGTCCCTTCATCATCCGTGAATACATCGTCAATACTACACAGGTTTGTATACACTTTGTCCCTTCAGCATCCGTGAATACATCGTCAATACTACACAGATTTGTATACACTACATCCCTTCATCATCCGTGAATACATCGTCAATATTACACAGGTTTGTATACACTTTGTCCCTTCAGCATCCGTGAATACATCGTCAATATAACACAGGTTTGTATACACTACGTCCCTTTATCATACGTGAATACATCGTCAATATAACACAGGTTTGTATACACTACGTCCCTTTATCATACGTGACTCCGTGGTCTAGTGGTAGAAGGTCCGGGGTTCTATCCACGGCCGGGGGGCGGTCGGGTAGCCTAGTGGTTAAAGCGTTCGCTCGTCACGCCGAAGGCCCGGGTTCGATTCCCGACATGGGTACAATGTGTGAAGCCCATTTCTGGTGTCCCCCGCCGTGATATTGCTGGAATATTGCTAAAAGCGGCGCAAAACCATACTCACTATCCACGGCCGCGTCATACCAAAAGACGTTAAAAGATGGCACTTGTTGTTACCCTGTCTGGCGCTCGGCATTAAGGGGCTAAAACAAGGACTGGTTGGCTCAGAGTCAGTGTACTGTGTCTGAGTGGAGTATTCATGTTAAACTGCGGCATGGTATCTCAGTGAGCTAGCATTATAAATCGGCATCACTCCGGACTAGTACAAGCAGCCACACAAACACACACACGTACATGCACGTCGCTATATTAGTGCAATAATCTTGGACGCGACGTTAAACCCCATTTCACCTCACCTCACCTCACCTCACCTCACCTCACCTCACCTCATCATACGTGAATACATCGTCAATACTACACAGGTCCATATATACTACGTCCCTTCATACGTGAATACATCGTCAAAACTTCACAGCTTTGTATACACTACGTCCCTTCATCATCCGTGAATACATCGTCAATACTTCACGAGCATGTATGCACTATGTTCGTCCATCATCCGTGAAAACATCGTCAATACTACACAGGTTTCTTTACACTACCTTTCTTCATCATCCGTGAATACATCGTCAATGCTACACAGGTCCGTATACACCACGCCCCTTCATTCCCCGTGACTACATCGTCAATACTTCACAGGTTTGTATACACCACGCCCTTTCATTCCCCGTAAATACATCGTCAATACTTCACAGGTTTGTATACACTACGCCCCTTCATTCCCCGTGAATACATCGTCAATACTTCACAGGTTTTTATACACTATGTTCTTGGAAGTGTGCTTTACTTCTACGGAAGCCTTTTAGGGCCATTTGTTACTTTCTTATTTTCTTGAAATATCAAGATGCTACTGTAATTTGACATTTCTAGATACATACTAGGCTAAAATTATAAGTTCATTATCTTGAAATTTCAAGACAATAACTTGAAATTTTAAGATTATAACTTGAACTTATTATTTTTAAATTTCAACTCATTGTGTTTAGGGCCGAGCATGTTTATCCCCACCGGTAACTTGTTCAGAGAGGGGGCACAGTGTCCTTGTTGAAGGAGTCTCTGTTAAAATAGTACCTATGTCACCGTCAAATCAATCTCACAGTGGTGTCACATATCCAATAACTTAACCAAGCCATATCACATTCTCAAGTAGAGTGGCAGGAATTCCCATTGTATAACATGACAGGTTAGCCTGACCTTGGATATACTCAATCCTGGTAGGTCATATCACTGAAGTATAGGGACCCGTTAAGATCCGGGTTAGAATAGGCCTTTCGCAACCCATATTTGCCATAAAAGAGGGCTGTGTTTGTCGTTGACGCTTGTCAGACATAGTATACTGACTCCGGGCCGACCAGTCCTTGTTTTAGCCCCTTAAAGCCGAACGCCAGACAGGTTAACAACAAGTACCATCTTTGAACGTCTTTTAGTATAACGCGGCCGGGGATCGAACCCCGGACCTTCCGGTCTCCAGGCGAACGCTCTACCACTAGACCACAGAGGCGGTCCGTAGTGATTTGCTTTAACTTGTTGAAGTAGTATGGAACTATTTAACCTTTATTTTTGTTTAACGTCGCACTCAGCAATATACCAGCTATATGACGTCAGTCTGTAAATAATCGAGTCTGGTCCAGACAATCCAGTGATTGAATTCATGGTCATCGATCAACGCAATTGGGATACGATGACATGCATCAGCGAGCCTGACCACCCGATCCTGTTCGACAAGCAAAGTCGCGTTTTATGGCAAGCATGGTTGCTGAAGACAATTGTAACCCGGATCTTCCCGGGTTTTCCCAAACTGTAAATAATAACATCTGGATCAGAAAAACCAGCAAGAGTACACATGAGCACCACATCCTCAAATTCAGTGATTGACATCATGAGCATTGACCAACGTAATTGCGATGAGATGACATGCATCATCCTGACCATCGAGTCCCATTGGTTGCCTGTTACAAGCATTCTACCCGGATCTTCACGCACACGCACACGCACACGCACACACACGCACGCACACACACACAAACACACATACCTCAGACGCACACACACACCACACACACACACCTCACAAACACACACATACTTCACACACACACACACCTCACACATACACACACACGCACCTCATACACACCACGCACACCTCACACGCACACACCACACATACTTCACACACACGCTTCACCTCACACACAAACACACACACACCTCACAAACACACACACCTCTCGCACACACCTCACAAACACACACCTCATACACACACATACTTCACACACACACACACACACACACCTCACACATACACACACACGCACCTCATACACACCACGCACGCACACACCACACATACTTCGCACACACGCTTCACCTCACACACAAACACACACACACACACACAGCTCATACACACCACGCACACCTCACACGCGCACACCACACATACTTCACACACACGCTTCACCTCACACACAAACACACACACACACGCACCTCATACACACACCTCACAGATATCCTTTCAAATTTTAAGCTTTAAATGCAGCTTTCCTGCAATTACTGGCTGTGACCAGACAACCCCCTGTGCGGGGACATTTCCATCAGCAGCACATGGACTACACGACCACCAACTTCCCAGTCATGCCAGGAGCTTCTGTAGTTGGAAGTCTGCGAGGGGGTGCCGAGCAAGGAGTAACTGGTGTGGCGCATTTAATCAGTACACCACTTAATTGTCTCTACCTAACCAAACAATTAGCCATTTGGAGCATATTTCAAAAAATAAATAATTTGTTCCTTAAATATTTTGTTGTTGTCATTGTATTCGCCATATTTGTGTATTGTGTATTATGAGTTAATTGGCCTCAATGACGTATGGCTTAAAGATATGCCGAAGAAGAAAGAAAGGCATTTTAAATTCACTAAATCAAGACAAATAGTCGATTATAATAAAGTTATTTTCTTTACATATGTAATGTTGGGTAAATACATTCCAAAATGTTCATTTATCATTTTTAGTTTATGCTTTTGGTCATACGAGATGTACTTAAATGTCATTTCTCCATGGCGGCCATATTGGATTTTTTGGGGAGGCACCATATCTGAATTGTTTTGGAATGTCATTACCTACAACTGTGCCAAGTTTCATACTTTTATCACAAAATGCACAACAACTCACTCACTCACTCACTCAAGATGTCATATTTGATAAATAGTTTATAAATAACATACATGGTGATAAAACAATCGGTCTTGTTCTTCATAGCAAATGGAAACAGCATGAGCATTTCTCAGTAACCACCACATTTAACACTTCATTTAACGCCTCCGTGGTCTAGTGGTAGAGAGTCCGCCCGGAGAGTGGAAGGTCCGGGGTTCGATCCCCTGCCGCGTCATACCAAAAGACGTTAAAAGATGGTACTTGTTGTTACCCTGTCTGGCGCTCGGCATTAAGGGGCTAAAACAAGGACTGGTTGACTCGGAGTCAGTATACTGTGTCTGAGTGGGGTATTCATGTTATAATAGTGAGTGAGTGAGTTAATGTTTTACGTCACATCGGCAATATTTCAGCCATATTGTGACTCATGTTATAAAAACAGCGGCAAGGTATCTCAGTGTGCTAGCACTATAAATCGGCATTAGTCCGGACTAGTACAAGCAGCCACACACACACATACACGTGCATGCACGTCGCTATATAAGTGCAATAATCTTGGACGCGACGTTAAACCCAGTCTCACCTCACCTCAGATACTTGCAATATTGTAAGTGTTAAATCATATTTCAATGCAACTGACACGTGTTTGAAGGAAATGCTTGTCATCACAACAGTTTCAACCTCCATATACCTATTGTGACAAACAGCGGTCTGATAATTCAGTCGGATATTTGGAGGAAACTAGCGTTGTTGATTTGCATTGAATTTGTTGAGAACCTTATCATTACCGTATCAGCGCGTCATGCCTTAGTCACCACATGCTACAATCATGTATATTCAGTAACACCTCTGGGCCGGTGGGTTAGCCTGGTGGTTCAAGCGTTCGCTCGTCACGCCGAAGACCCGGGCTCGATTCCCTAAATGGGTACAATATGTGAAGACCATTTCTGGTGTCCCCTGCCGTGATATTGCTGAAATATTGCTAAAAGCGGCGTAAAACCATACTCACTCACTTTGCCCTGTTCAGGTGGTACCCTGGATGCATGACCAATTCAGAAATGTAAAATATTATTTAAAAAAAAACATGCTGATATTGATTGCAAATTAAAGTCTTTACGGTTTAAACGTAAGCCAGCAAATATTATCACTTAATCAGGAAGTGATATGGTAACAGGAATGAACTGATAATCACTGAACTCACTCACCCTTGCCATGCGACGGCAACCGACACTCCCTGAGGTAGTGTTTTTGTTCAGTGCAGTATTGCGTTATACCTCTACGCTTCACAGTCAAACTGTGACAGATTGTTGCGACACCCGTTCACGAGTGTCACTCACAAAGGCGTACAAGGAAGCCCACACGGAACATACTATCCTGACTAACACAATGTAGTTGTTGTGTCGGGTCGTGGGTCACATATGTACGGGTATTTCCTGATCGGCCATAGCATACTGTTCACAAGGAGCTACCTACCAACAGAGTTCTGTCTAAAGGTAATGGATAGTGAGTTTATTGAACTAATCCAAATGTGATCTGTAGATTTGAGTTACCTGTGCAGTGAGGACGTTCTCATGCAAGACTGCCGTGAGAACATTTGAAATATTTTTCTAGTTCATAATATCAGGAAACAAATTCTCATGATCTTTTATCTTGATTATCAATTATTTGTATAATTAATAAAACATCTGTGTTTCTTACAACATGATTATTGATATTGGGATTGGTAGGTATATTTTAAATCAGTGTTGTATTTCATTATGGCATTTCAGTTGAAATTCGGATAAATAATAGCTTGGAGGAAAGTAATTTCATGTAAGTTTATGTAAAGGATCGGTGACATCGGATGATCTGTTCATGTATTGTCTAGGAACTTGTAACACGTGTATTCCTCACAGCACTGCACTATCCCCCTAGCAGTGTTGTCTAGGAACTTGTAACACGTGTATTCCTCACGGCACTGCACTATCCCCCTAGCAGTGTTGTCTAGGAACTTGTAACACATGCATTCCTCACAGCACTGCACTATCCCCCTAGCAGTGTTAACTAGGAACTTGTAACACGTGTATTCCTCACAGAACTGCACTATGCCCCTAGCAGTGTTATCTAGGAACTTGTAACACATGTATTCCTCACAGCACTGCACTATGCCCCTAGCAGTGTTATCTAGGAACTTGTAACACGTGTATTCCTCACAGCACTGAACTATCCCCCTAGCAGTGTTGTCTAGGAACTTGTAACACGTGTATTCCTCACAGAACTGCACTATCCCCCTAGCAGTGTTATCTAGGAACTTGTAACACATGTATTCCTCACAGCACTGCACTATCCCCCAAGCAGTGTTATCTAGGAACTTGTAACACATGTATTCCTCACAGCACTGCACTATCCCCCTAGCAGTGTTATCTAGGAACTTGTAACACGTGTATTCCTCACAGCACTGCACTATCCCCCTAGCAGTGTTATCTAGGAACTTGTAACACGTGTATTCCTCACAGCACTGCACTATCCCCCTAGCAGTGTTATCTAGGAACTTGTAACACATGTATTCCTCACAGCACTGCACTATGCCCCTAGCAGTGTTATCTAGGAACTTGTAACACGTGTATTCCTCACAGCACTGCACTATCCCCCTAGCAGTGTTATCTAGGAACTTGTAACACGTGTATCCTCACAGCACTGCACTATCCCCCTAGCAGTGTTATCTAGGAACTTGTAACACGTGTATTCCTCACGGCACTGCACTATCCCCCAAGCAGTGTTGTCTAGGAACTTGTAACACGTGTATTCCTCACAGCACTGCACTATGCCCCTAGCAGTGTTGTCTAGGAACTTGTAACACGTGTATTCCTCACAGCACTGCACTATGCCCCTAGCAGTGTTATCTAGGAACTTGTAACACGTGTATTCCTCACAGCACTGCACTATGCCCCTAGCAGTGTTATCTAGGAACTTGTAACACGTGTATTCCTCACAGCACTGCACTATCCCCCAAGCAGTGTTGTCTAGGAACTTGTAACACGTGTATTCCTCACAGCACTGCACTATCCCCCTAGCAGTGTTGTCTAGGAACTTGTAACACATGTATTCCTCACAGCACTGCACTATCCCCCTAGCAGTGTTATCTAGGAACTTGTAACACTTGCATTCCTCACAGCACTGCACTATGCCCCTAGCAGTGTTATCTAGGAACTTGTAACACGTGTATTCCTCACAGCACTGCACTATCCCCCCTAGCAGTGTTATCTAGGAACTTGTAACACATGTATTCCTCACAGCACTGCACTATCCCCCCTAGCAGTGTTATCTAGGAACTTGTAACACGTGTATTCCTCACAGCACTGCACTATCCCCCCTAGCAGTGTTATCTAGGAACTTGTAACACGTGTATTCCTCACAGCACTGCACTATCCCCCTTGCAGTTTTGTGTCGGTAACGAAGTAGGGTAAAGAGCGGCTTTGAAGTTCAGAATATTGTATTTTCAAATGTTTTCTTGACGTAAGTGAATTCGTCTTATGTTAACATTGAGTATCTCCAACATGGATGTATTAAATGATTTCTGCCATGCTTGTCGACTAGCTGCGTCCGCTCCTAGTTGCCTCCCCCAAGCTGTAATACACTGTTCACTCTCGTCTAACACATAGTCTAGGAAATCTTTATCACTAATTTCTCTCTTGTAAGTATTTTTGTATCAGATTGTGATGTATAGATAGCTAGACGTCATATTGTTTTCAATACGTATGGTTGTGGTAATAATGACTTTGATCATTAAATGCAAATATTCCCCTGTCAAGTTGCACGACCAGTTCCTGGACACCAGTTAACGACATGCCTCGCTGACTGGGAAGTTATACGTCAAATGTTGTCGTCATTACCTCACCACAGCAGTGACCCAGCTCGTCTGGGGGTCCAGGCGGTGCACCCCATTTACGTGTATATGTTCATGCGTAATTTTTAGTTTCTGTTTTATTTCTGCTCAAACAGACATTGTGCAGTACCATTACTACCTATCGTAAAAGCAATTTTGTCACAAATAATATGCATAATCTATCATGTTGAGAGTTACGTGTACGTTCCTGTTCTCCAATATGTCTCCCTGCCTGGGTGCACCCTCCTTGCTAGCCCCTGTGGGGAGACACTCTGCCCCTTCGTAACCAACAGGTGTGTTGCTCGGCAGTCTCTATATGGGTGACACTCGTACATCTAACACTATAACAAGTTATACGTAATCTATTTTAATAATGGCTTCATAACGGTATAGTTGTGTTGTTGTTGTTTGTTGTTTAACGCCGCACTCAGCAATATTCCAGCTATATGACGGCGGTCTGTAAATAATCGAGTCTGGACCAGACAATCCAGTGAATAATATCATGAGCATCGATCCACGCGATTGGGATCGATGACATGCAACAACCAAGTCAGCGAGCCTGACCACCCGATCCCGTTAGTCACCTTTAACGACTAACATAGTCGCCTTTTTACGGCAAACATGGGTTGCTAAAGACCTATTCTACCCCGGAATCTTCACGGGTCTCATAACGGTATAGTAAATGGATGTTGTACCATGAATTATTTGGTGTTCATTTCCCTGGTTCTCGAGTCAATTAAATGGTATAATTATTAAGTACCTGATTTGATCATATTTAACATCCTTGCAAACATGGTATAAAAGTGAGTGGGAATGAGTGTGTTTGTCAACGTCTTTGTAAAATTCTAGTCCTAATTACCGTATTTATTTTAAAAAATATATCTTACAAGCATGACCATTATCATTGCTGGTCACAGAACCCATGGAACTTACTGGAGGAAACTGCTTCTGTTTTACACATCCTTTGTATCTCTGACTTTGCCCTGTTCGGGAGGTCGGGTAGCCTAGTGGTTAAAGCGTTCGCTCGTCACGCCGAAGACCCGGGTTCGCTTCCCGACATGTGTACAATGTGTGAAGCCCATTTCTGGTGTCCCCCGCCGTGATATTGCTGGAAGATTGCTAAAAGCGGCGTAAAACCATACTCACTCGCTCACTCACTCACTTTGCCCTATTCAGGTGGTACCCTGGATGCATGACCAATTCTGTGACCAGAACTCAGAAATGGAAAATATTTGTAAAAAAAACCCATGCTGATATTTTATTACAAATTAAAGTCTTTACGGCTTTAAGGTAAGCCAGCAAACATTATCACATAATCAGGAAGTGATATGGTAACAGGAATGAACTGATAATCACTGTACAGGTTATGTTAGAAACTGTACGAGACTGTCGACGTGGCTATTTTATGGAGCTTTTAGCAATATTCCAGCAATATCGCGATGGGGGACACCAGAAATGAGCTTCACACATTGTACCCATATGGGGAATCGAACCCGGGTCTTTGGCGTGATGAGCGAACACTAGATTACTAAACCGCCCCTGCGGGATGTCAGCGTGTCTGTCTTCTCCTTTCTTGCACTCTAAATGTTGACGGTTCTTGTGGGCGACACAATATAGATCTGATTTGTCATCGGTTAAAGTGAGTATCAATACAATATAGATCTGATTTGTCATCGGTTAAAGTGAGTACCAATACAATATAGATCTGATTTGTCATCGGTTAAAGTGAGTATCAATACAATATAGATCTGATTTGTCATCGGTTAAAGTGAGTATCAATACAATATAGATCTGATTTGTCATCGGTTAAAGTGAGTATCAATACAATATAGATCTGATTTGTCATTGGTTAAAGTGAGTATCAATACAATATAGATCTGATTTGTCATTGGTTAAAGTGAGTATCAATACAATATAGATCTGATTTGTCATCGGTTAAAGTGAGTACCAATACAATATAGATCTGATTTGTCATCGGTTAAAGTGAGTACCAATACAATATAGATCTGATTTGTCATCGGTTAAAGTGAGTATCAATACAATATAGATCTGATTTGTCATTGGTTAAAGTGAGTATCAATACAATATAGATCTGATTTGTCATCGGTTAAAGTGAGTATCAATACAATATATAGAACTGATTTGTCATCGGTTAAAGTGAGTATCAATACAATATAGAACTGATTTGTCATCGGTTAAAGTGAGTATCAATACAATATAGATCTGATTTGTCATTGGTTAAAGTGAGTATCAATACAATATAGATCTGATTTGTCATTGGTTAAAGTGAGTATCAATACAATAAAGATCTGATTTGTCATTGGTTAAAGTGAGTATCAATACAATATACATCTGATTTGTCATTGGTTAAAGTGAGTACCAATACAATATACATCTGATTTGTCATTGGTTAAAGTGAGTATCAATACAATATACATCTGATTTGTCATTGGTTAAAGTGAGTATCAATACACAGTTCGGTGGGATTATTAAACAGTACTGAAGATATAAGACGCTTAATTACAGCGGACATGGGTCAAGTCTAGACAATGAAATGTTAATTGGACAGTTTCCAGTTTAATCAAGTTTCGTTTTTAGTTAGAATCAACTTTCAAGAATACTTAATAATATCATAGTGCATTTAGTGATTGTGTTGTTTGTTCGTTGAACGCCGCACTCAGCAATATGCCAGCTATGTGACGGCGGTCTGTAAATAATTGAGTCTGGGCCAGACAATCCAGTGACTGACATCAATCTTCAGAAGGGAGGGACCAATGGTGCAGGCATCTCTCCACCAGTCCATCAGAACCCCAGCCGCTACCTAATTTTATATACAGTAAACTACGGTTATAACGAACACGGTTATAACGAACTGACGGATATAACGAACTTACTTTTTTGTTCCCGACTATTTGCTGTAGTTATGCTGTATATATGCTTATAACGAACTAAAATTAGTAGTCCCTTTGAGTTCGTTATAACCGTACTTTACTGTATCCTAAATTTAATTGGTTCCTGTTGGAAATATCTACACATGACACTGATCTAATGTTGACGAATATCTCCAAATGGTTGGGTTCTGTATTTCAATATAAGGATGTCATTATGTAAAGACAAATAAAAGTGTTTCATATGAAAAATACTTCATATTTATAGTAAAACCCTGCTTTATCTGCAAATTGTGTTTCAGTGAAACAGATGTTTTCGAAAGTGACACATATTTAACAATCCGACATGCGACCAAACTCCTGGGAAGAATGGGGGTGCAACTTGACACCCCCCATGCTGCCAGTGGACTGTCTCCTGCCGACAGGCATCACTGTGCTGATGACTTGCAAGAGGGACGCAACCCTTGAGAAACTGAAAACAGATCTGTGGATAGCATCCAAGAACTATCCCCTCCATCGGCTCCTCCTCTGTCCGGAGTCGTACATTTTTGTGGGAATAACCCAGGATGCTGAGAGAGAGGAGTTTTATGATGAAACTCGGAGACTTTGTGACTTGCGGTTGTTTCAAGCCACCCTCAAAGTCATGGAACGGGTTGGAAATGGTGAAGAAAAGATGTTGAATTATGAAATAGGTATGTTAAGCCATTATAACAGAAAATTGAAATTTCAACTTAGTATCTTGAAATTTCAACTTATGTATCTTGAAATTTCAACTAAGTATCTTGAAATTTCAATAAAAATTTGAAAAAAACAAACGGGCCGAAAAGGCTTCCGTAGACTGTCGCCCATCCGTCATCCGGTTGTCTTTCCAACGTCAGACTTCTACACACCAACCATGTCCGATATGAAGGATTGCTAGCAATACAATCGGATTCAGATTTGTTTTGGGAAGTAGAACAGAAGTGTTTTTTTAAGAATGGCTCCAACTTTTAACTTTAAAATATACTTTAAAAACGGTCTTGTCAGAAGACCAATATGCATTGAGAGTGACTTTATAAATGGCAGCCATTTTGAATATGGAGAAAATGCAGAATAGCATGTTTTTCTCTTAGCTGTCATTATGAAATATGTTTTGTTGTACTGAACATGTTGAAACCTCCTCCTCTATTTATGTACACGTGTCGTTGTTACCAATATTCCAGAAAAACTCAGGTGAGCTTCAGGGACTCTTGTTATATAATTCTAGGCATGGTGATCGGTAAACCAGTGAATGAATTCAATGAGATGAAAGATCTAGAAGTGATGACATTTCGACGGAAAATTCTGGGAGTGTGCAAGGAGACGATCGACAAGCGAGAGAAGGACACAGGGCTCAGCCGGGTGCTGTATGCGTATCCCCCAGACATTGAAGCAAGCCCAGTCCTGCCTCCACATCTGACTGAAAAACTCCAGAAGTCTGGTAACTGTCGCAACTCATACGCCAATAACCAGAATGTCACGTCTCAATTCCATTAGGATAAATACCTGGAGCAATTCGCCACAAATTTTAAATGGCACGACACTAAATACAGTCACCCAATCAAATAACACGACACTAAATACAGTCATCCAATCAAATGACACGACACTAAATACAGTCATCCAATCAAATGACACGACCCTAAATACAGTCATCCAATCAAATTACACGATACTAAATACAGTCACCCAATCAAATAACACGACACTAAATACAGTCATCCAATCAAATGACACGACACTAAATACAGTCATCCAATCAAATGACACGACCCTAAATACAGTCATCCAATCAAATTACACGATACTAAATACAGTCATGCAATCAAATTACACGACACTAAATACAGTCATCCAATCAAATTGCATGACACTAAATACAGTCATCCAATCAAATGACATGACACTAAATACAGTCATCCAATCAAATTACACGACACTAAATACAGTCATCCAATCAAATTACACGACACTAAATACAGTCATCCAATCAAATTACATGACACTGGTTTCAGGAACTATGTGGAAGGGAAAATATCGATATTACAAGTACTCGCTTTGGGTTGTTCTATACCATCCCAAATACAACTGGTAGCAGAAGGACTTACCTCCCACTGTCATAATACTCACGTAAACATTTGTCCCAGGTAGAAACGCATTCTGATCCATCGTACATCCTTTGTGTGTAACATTTCAAGTGCTTGCTCAAACGAGACCGGTAGTTTGAAAGTAGATATATGCCGAACTCTCGTTTTGAGGAGTAATTTTGATTGGTTGTTGAGTTGAAGCTTACCAGCGAAAGAAAGTCTGTGCTAGGTTATTGATACGGACAGGGAGATCGTGACGTCACTTCTGTAATGAAGCTTTGGTGCCTTCTGTCGCCAGGTACATGTCTCATGTAAATCCTGCACTAAGAGCATAGGAAGTTTTCATATGATGGGATGGAGATTGTTCTTTTCTTTAAACTCATTTTATGTAGGGATAGTCGAGGGCATGATCTGATTGGATGGTTTACCAGATGTCCTAGGACTACTCCTCACTCAGCATCTGATGACCCGGGACTTTTCCTCACTCTGTACCGATGTCCCAGGACTCCTCCTCACTCAGAATCAGCTGTCCTGGGACTTCTCACTCAGTACCAGATGTCCTAGAACGTCTCCTCACTCAATAGCAGATGTACTAGGACTTCTCCTCACTCACTATCAGATCTGATGGGACTCCTCCTCACTCAGTATCAGGGACTTCTCCTCACTCTGTATCAGGTGTCTTGGGACTTCTCCTCACTCAGTTTCAGGTGTCTTGGGACTTTTCCTCACTCAGTTTCAGGTGTCTTGGGACTTCTCCTCACTCAGTATCAGGTGTCTTGGGACTTCTCCTCACTCAGTTTCGGGTGTCTTGGGACTTCTCCTCACTCAGTTTCGGGTGTCTTGGGACTTCTCCTCACTCAGTTTCAGGTGTCTTGGGACTTTCCTCACTCAGGATCAGGTGTCTTGGGACTTCTCCTCACTCAGTTTCAGGTGTCTTGGGACTTTTCCTCACTCAGTTTCAGGTGTCTTAAGACTTTCCTCACTCAGGATCAGGTGTCTTGGGACTTTTCCTCACTCAGGATCAGGTGTCTTGGGACTTTTCCTCACTCAGGATCAGGTGTCTTGGGACTTCTCCTCACTCAGTATCAGGTGTCTTGGGACTTTCCTAACTCAGGATCAGGTGTCTTGGGACTTCTCCTCACTCAGTATCAGGTGTCTTGGGACTTCTCCTCACTCAGTTTCGGGTGTCTTGGGACTTCTCCTCACTCAGTTTCAGGTGTCTTGGGACTTCTCCTCACTCAGTTTCAGGTGTCTTGGGACTTCTCCTCACTCAGTTTCGGGTGTCTTGGGACTTCTCCTCACTCAGTTTCAGGTGTTTTGTGACTTTCCTCACTCAGGATCAGGTGTCTTGGGACTTCTCCTCACTCAGTTTCAGGTGTCTTGGGACTTTCCTCACTCAGGATCAGGTGTCTTGGGACTTTTCCTCACTCAGTTTCAGGTGTCTTGGGACTTTTCCTCACTCAGTTTCAGGTGTCTTGGGACTTTTCCTCACTCAGTTTCAGGTGTCTTGGGACTTTTCCTCACTCAGGATCAGGTGTCTTGGGACTTTTCCTCACTCAGGATCAGGCCAGGTGTCTTGGGACTTTTCCTCACTCAGTTTCAGGTGTCTTGGGACTTTTCCTCACTCAGGATCAGGTGTCTTGGGACTTTTCCTCACTCAGGATCAGGTGTCTTGGGACTTCTCCTCACTCAGGATCAGGTGTCTTGGGACTTTCCTCACTCAGGATCAGGTGTCTTGGGACTTCTCCTCACTCAGGATCAGGTGTCTTGGGACTTTTCCTCACTCAGGATCAGGTGTCTTGGGACTTCTCCTCACTCAGTATCAGGTGTCTTGGGACTTTTCCTCACTCAGTTTCAGATGTCCTGGGACTTCTCTTACTCTGTATCAGGTGTCCTAGGACCCGTTGTCTGCCAGAGCTTTAGGCATAATGGATTAAATATCTGAAACTCAAAAACCAGCCTACAATATCCACAAAGTAAATCAGTAAATGTCTCATTTTTCAGGCGTATGTCACAACTCACATTGCAGAGTTGTGTCCCTTAGATATGCCAGATTGTGGGTTCGAATCCTGACTCACTCTGATTATGTTTCTTGGTTTATCGGCACCATACCTGCACACAGGTTTGGATCAAAGTGCCAAACATCAAAGACCTACATCACTTTGGGTTTTTCAACTTTCAGAAAATTCTCTGATAATCTGTATCTGGGTGGTGAAGAGTGATGGGAATCGAAACAAATACAGCATGAAGGTGTCCCACAATGCATCACCAACAGACGTGATCGCGGAGGCCATCCGTCATCGAAGTCATATCATGAACGTGTCCAAGGAACATTCAGAGAAATATGTCGATGGGTACAGACATACGTACGTTCTCAAAGTGTGTGGGTGCGACCAGTTTCTTCTGGCGGACTGTCCCATCAGCCAGTATAAGGTCAGTAGCCTATTTGATTGGATGATTGTAGTATTGGTATCTTTGACCACATTCTTTAGCTCGCCTGATTGAAAGTTGTCGTCCACTGTCGCTGGCGGCACCAGTGTTGCCTGTAAACATCTCCTCAGAAACAACTTTGACCTTGATTTGACCTTTGCATTTGGACCCGACACCAACAAAACTCTTTTAATTTGAAAAAAAATGAAAAGGTATCTATTTTATTTTAAGATTGTATTTGTGGAGGACTGTAGTCAGCATTATTATGGTATGAGCAATATTCCAACTATACTACTCAAAACAAGTTAAGGAGCACAAATTATTTTATAAATCAACAGTTAATCGGATAGTGTTAACATACTGTTGTTATACCATTGACTTCAGGACATTTTTTCCAAATTACTTGGCTAATGGCGATATATTTGGAGTATTTTACGCAATACGGTTTATCTGGAGTTCTGATTTCACTGTGATGTGTATTCTCGGCAGCCGATCCGTGAGTGCATCGCCAACGAGAAGATCCCGCAGCTGATGCTGTTGCTGAAGGAGAGTGTGTTCGACTCGCTGCACAAGAATGAGTTCTTCCTGCCGTCATATTCCGTACGAGGTACGTCGCCATTCGTGAAATTAGTGTGACTGTGTCTGTGTGCCTGTCTGTCTGTCTGTGTGCGTGTCTGTGTATATGTGTGTGTCTATGTCTCTGTGGGCTTGTGTGTGTGCCTATGTGTGTCGATGTCACTGTCACACGCCACACACAACAATATTTAATTTACATGACAGCAGCCTGGACCAGACAAACAAGTGGTTGATAATATTGGCAATGATCACACTAAGCCTGACCATCCAATGCATGATGTCGCTTCTTATGACCAGCATGGGTTCCTGAGGACCTATAGTTTTAATCAAAATCCAATGGGGGAAATGTATAATACCCTCCTTATGTATGTGCTATTCCATGTATTGAGAGGGGCGGTCGGGTAGCCTAGTGGTTAAAGCGTTCAATCGTCACACCGAAGACCCGGGTTCAATTCCCGACATGGGTACAATGTGTGAAGCCCATTTCTTGTGTCCCCCGCCGTGATATTGCTGGAAAATTGCTAAAAGCGGCGTAAAACCATAGTCACTCACTCACTCACTCACCCATGTATTGAAATTGTGAATGACAGAGAGTTACTTCCCTTGTTTTTGTGTTTTCAGGTATTCAGGCTCTGAATGAGATCAACAACCAGCAGACCGTGTCCCTCTGGGACGTTCAGACCATGATGGGGATAAAGGTGACCTGCGCCACGAATGTCCTCGTCAAGGACCTCGGCAAGGTTGTTGCCTCTTATATACTCTTTGCTCTTTCTTCACCAGTGAACACGTCAACCTTACGTAAACTATGAACCCTTAATGTTGTGCATAAACACAATAATTGTACGAACCTTCACATTACCTGACATGGAGGAAATATGGAGAGCAGACGGCTACAAAATTATGGCACCTTGTGCACATTTTGTCATACCAGACACATGTCTGTTTGTGTGATGAAAGCTGAGTGCCCACTGAGTGAGTGAGTGAGTTGGGTTTAACGCCGCTTTTAACAGTATTCCAGTTATATCGCGGCGTGTCAGCTTAATGTGGGAGGAAAGCCCGAAGTGATGCAGGTCTCAGACGTTTACCACTTCGGTGAAACCCACGAGCACGGGTATGGTGCTGACAAACCTAGAAACATAATCGGGGCGAACCGGGATTCGAACCCACAATCATAGGTTTCTGGCGTGCCCAAGGGACGCAACTCTGCACAGCGAATCGCGGCGCCTTAGACGACTGGGCCACCCGTGCCCCCGAGTGCCCACTGGTCTGCTTAGTCCTTGGCTTCTAGGTCTTTGCTTGATCTGTTGTTTGAAATTAGTGCAACATGCAACAAGCAACACGCATCAATCAATACGCTATGTTTCACAACAGCTAGTATGGCAGCAAACGACATATGTTATCAATTGATTCTTTTTTCAGCACCATTTTCAGGAAACAAATTAGTTTTTACGAAACTTTCATGATCACTACCGCCTGTTGCGTTCTTTCTTCAGATTTACGTGAAGGCGTGCGTGTATCACGGGACGGAGCCTCTTTGTGAGGCCCGGAACACCCAGCAGGTGGACTCGACCAATCCACGCTGGGACCAGTGGCTAGAGTTCCTGCCGATCCCAGATATTCCCCGCAGTGCTCGTCTCTGTCTCTCTATATGCTCCGTCTCCAAGAGGAAGAACAAAAAAGTCAGTTGGCAATCTCACAAAAATCACATATTTCACTTTAATACAACACTTCTCTGTGAAGACAGGAGACACCTCTAATGGAGGTCACTACAGGGGAACTTTCCAAACAGCCATTCAGCATCGATGCTTCAATATTCTCAGTGCAAGTGATTGAAGCATTCCGACAAGCTTATCTGATTTCTGTATACAAAAAATATAAATATAATTGGGGAGTTCCGAATCGCCCCCCCCCCTCCCCCAAATATTGTGTTTTAACAAAGTTGTTAATAGTTTATACATAAGGGTCCACTTGCACAAAGGGATCTTAGCTAAGACTCTCTTTAGCCGATGTTAAAATATGGGAGTTACGATTACCGTAGTGCTGTGATCGCTTTTTGCAAGTGGGCCCCGGTCGTCTTGGAGTGCCACGGTATCTGCCCTCAAAGGGTGTATTATAGAGAGTATATTTATGCCCTGTGCTGGTTTGCTTTCACTGAGATTTAATCATGACAGTAAAGAAAGCTCACATCTGATTGGCTAAAGTTTTCTGCCTCCTGAAACAAAAATCATTCTTCATCTTTGGGTGGCAAATTACTGTTTACAATGGAGGTCGATTTGGGAAGGGAGGTAACTCTTACTGACAAGCAGACGTGTTATACTTTTATTTACATATTTTTGTTTCACTTTAATGATCATAGTTTTTTTTAAATCATGAAATAATAAATGTTTTTGTAATTTTATTCTTATTTTGGACTTTTAAAAATATTTTGGATACCATGTGAAATGAACAGGTGAGAAAACACTGCCTGTATTTTAGCTGCTATGATTGTGTTGTTGTCTACCAGGACTCCTTGGCTCTTGCGTGGGGTAACCTGCAGATGTTTGACTTCAACGACCGCCTCCTGTCAGAGAAGATCAGTCTCCACCTATGGCCGATGCCCCAGGGAATGGACGACCTGGTTAACCCCATCGGATCACCAGGTCAGTGAGTTTAGCAACTTAAGAAATGGTGTGTATAAGAGTTCCAAGTAACAAGAAAAAATCTGCCCCTAATCTTCTTCTATGTGATGCAGTTCCAAAACTACCAGGAAAGGGGGCATGCCAGAAACCTGTGATAATGGGTTGGATTCTTGGTTCGTACCGATTACGTTTCTTGGCTTGTCAGCATCATACTCGTGCATGGCAGTAAACGTTTGAGACCTGCATCACTTCGAGCCTCCCTCCCAGATTAAGGTGACACACCGTGATATTGTCGGGGCACGACGACACTCAATCAACCAAGTCACCAAGACTTGATTTGATACTCATGGCCAGATTTGATACTCATGGCGTCCAAGCTGGGTTGCTGGGGACCAATTCTAACCCAGAATCCCCATGGGGAGACAAGCATAGGTTGCAGGGGACCTATTCTTACCCAGAATCCCCATGGGGAGACAAGCATAGGTTGCTGGGGACCAATTCTAACCCAGAATCCCCATGGGGAGACAAGCATAGGTTGCTGGGGACCAATTCTAACCCAGAATCCCCATGGGGAGACAAGCACAGGTTGCTGGGGACCCATTCTAACCCAGAAAACCCATGGGGTAGCGAATGAGTCAAGGGTAAATGATAATAAAACATAATACATACAAAACATCCAGACTAAATGCTCACGTGTTTCAGGGTCCAGCCAGGACAAAGACTGTCCGTGTCTTGAGATTGAATTCATAAAGTTCAGCCACCCAGTGCAGTACCCTTCCGAGTCTCACTTGGAACAACTGGCCAACCACATCACTGATAGGGACAAGTACTCTGAGGTAGGCTGGAGACCTGTCTGTCTCCGTCGTGTTGAACACCGCGTTGAGCGGTACTGGGACCTACAGATATGGTGGGGCAAACGCTGAATGCTGAATCAGCACAATGACATTTCAAGTTGTTGTGTTCTGTAGTTTCAGAGATAGCTTCAGGTTGGTTGGTTGGTTTGTTGTTTCACGGCGCACTCAGCAACATTCCAGCTATATGACGGCGGTCTGTAAATTCAGGAGGGTGGCTAGTTTATTTGTGGTACTCCATACGGCGTGTAGCAGCTAGCTCTCTTGGTAAGAAAACTCATTGCTTAGGTTACGGCAGAGACCATATAATAGAGGGACGGCCCTCACCAACAGTTTATCACTAACCATCAGCGCTACGGTCTGGCATGTAACTGATACACCCCGACACCCTGCTGTTAACCTCCCTGTACCGCTGCAGATGCGCAATAGATGCGCAGACATTCACGACTGACCATTCTGGTAACCACGTAAACAATATTACATAATATCCGGGGTAAGAGTTAATTCCCTTAGCCGAGATTTCTCCGACTACGACCAGCGACAATCCAATAAAAGGACGTCTCTTAGCGGATTACAAAGATTTTTGTATGATATCTCTCATTAGCACATGTCAGTTGGCTGCAAATTATTTGCTGAACATGTGTGTCTTCCGGGACATTTATTTCAATTTACATATCTCATTTTATGCTGCAATTGTTAACTATTATAAATAAACAAATATACCAAATCTACTACGAACGCCACAGAAAACTACGATCCGGTAAATTGCACAGGAACTCAGGAAGTGTAAATAAAACTCATTCAGAAGCAGGGAAGACACTTGTAACATATCACCCTATTCCCGATGTTCACAAAATATATCTCCAGATTAACTTCATATCTTATATTAAGTCCAGACTAGATTTACTTGCAAAAATGCATGATCACCGACTGGTGTAAATGCTTTACTATTAGCCAGAAAAAAAATGACGCCATATTAATGTTTTTATTTCATGTAAATTCGCTACTATTTTATAATGCTAATAATTCCAATGAATTAAAAATACACATTAAACTACGAGCGTTGTTAAATGAATTTTCGATGTGTCTGACAATGGGCTTCGAAAGAATCAAATGTTATTGGTTAATGCCAGTTTGGGGCTAGCAGTGATAATAGGGTTTGCCGGAGCGAGATAAGTTTGACACCTTCGACCTTGTTGTCTGGAACTTCTCTCCCGACGACTGCCGATATAATCCTTCTTTTTTTCTTGGCATTTACAAAGCAAATGATAATTTTATAATACAAATATTTCATGTAACGGATTTTTATTTTTGTATGATGTTTTTATTGTTGTGTAAATACACAAAGTAAGTAGTACCTTCATCATATTTACATTATTATGATTGGGTTTAGGCCAAGATCATTTTGCTCATAATCAATATTTACACGGCATAAAATAAATAATTGATTAAATGTAGTCATGTTTAATACAGACAAAATCTTCAGAAGATAACAAATATGTAGTATTATAGTATATAGTATCTGCGCGATATGTGATAGAAGCCTAACTGAAACAAAGTTAAACTTACGAAAAAATGGCGAAAGCAAAGGTAAAAAAAATACGTGTCTTACAAAAACAATTCTAATATCATACAATATGTCACTTTGTATAATGTTTCAAAAGATATATGCGGATGATAATCACAGACAAAATGCATGTTATTTCGTCTGCTATATATAGTAATTTAATTTAAAATATGTGACGTAAAATATGGCCTTGCGCCAAAAATCATACAAAAAAAACTACCGATCGTACCTAAATAACTTTGGTACCAAGCCAAAGGGGAAATCGTGATGAATGTAAAACTATTTAATTCAGGACCGATGATAGGAACACATTCGTCTGAAAGCATGCGGAAATTAAGAGTTGTGGTGTAATTATTTCGGGAAAAGTCAGATTTAGTCCCATTTCTGGAGTCAAAATCTGAAATATCGCATCCGCCCTAAATTTGTAAATGGCACTAAGCCAATTTGTAACATATATCCTTTTTATACACCTTGGTAACCAAGGACTTTCATTGCGAATTAGAGGCCGTTATTGAAAATCAAAATCTGCACTTTTGCCGATTTTACATGTGCGCCATTTTGTTCTCTCGGACAAAGACAAAGCGTGATCACAGTCATCAAATACAGTGACAACGACATGCTTTAGGGCACCAACAAATCTCAGTTGTAATGTTAACAATGTTAAGAAATACATGAGTGTAATTTTGTTTTGTAAAATATATCTTTTGCATGGGAAAAAAAGGCGACAGCGATGACTGCAGTTAACGCGTTTCTGCTCGCTTCCGGACAGGCTGCGCAGTACAAGCCGTAGCACTGATGGTTTCGCACATAGGCTAGAGGGCCGTCCCTCTATTATATGGTCTCTGGTTACGGTGAGGTGAGTTGAGGTGAAATGGGGTTTAACGTCGCGTTAAAGGTTATTGCACTTATATAGCGACGTGCATGTTTGTGTGTGTGTGTGGCTGCTTGTACTTGTCCTGACTGATGCCGATTTTATAGTGCTAGCCCACTGAGATACCATGCCGCAGTTTAACATGAATAGCCCACTCAGACACAGTATACTGACTCCGAGCTGACCAGTCCTTGTTTTAACCCCTTATTCCGAGCGCCAGACAGGGTAACAACAAGTACCATCTTTTAAAGTCTTTTGGTATGACGCGACCGGGGATCGAACCCTGGACCTTCTGCTCTCCAGGTGGACACTCTACCACTAGGCCACAGAGGCTACGAGAGAATAACCTGAATAATTACAGGACAGATACAGAAAGTGAAGGGCTTCTAGCAAAAGTGAGTGACATGTCTGTATTCACGTGAACCACAACTGCCGATTTGTCTATAAAAGAAAAACAAGTGGATGTATAAATCCGCTATATTCTCTCACAAATATGTTTGTTTAACGCCACACTCAGCAAATATTCAAACTTTGTGATGGCAGCCTGTAAATAATCGAGTTGGGACCAAGAAAACCAGTTGTTGATATGTTTGGAAACAACCCATGTCATCGGGATGCAGTGACACACCATCCACCGAGCCAACGAGGCATTTAGTTGTATTTTATGACACGCATCGATTGTTTGGGTCTCTACTGAAAGACAATTTTTTATCATATCATTGATAACGTTACCAATGCCATAAACCAATCCGATAACGTGATAATGTGGGCGTGTATGCCAGGGATTACTTAAGGGATTTAAAATGTCCACTGTCAGTATGCAAGGTATGTACACATTTCCCCAGTCAGTGTAGAATTGTAGTCTATATATCAAATAATATTTAAGTTTATAGTTTATATTTAATGTTCGAAACAGTTGAACTTGCATCACAAACACGTAGGCAACATTTGTCATGAATTTGCAGGGCGGTTGGGTAGCCTAGTGGTTAAAGCGTTCTCTCGTCATGCCGAAGACAGGGGTTCGCTTCCCGACATGGGTACAATGTGGTCCCCCGCCATGACATTGCTGGAATATTGCTAAAAGCAGCGTAAATCCATACTCACTCACTCATGAAGCTGATGTTGGCATTATGAAAGTTGACTATGTATACCATTAAGATTTCAGGTGTCATTTATTTAGATGTGGCATTCCCTTGCCTAATTTATGTATTTAAGTATTGAAGATTCGAATCTATGGACATGACCAAACCGCTAAATGTCCGGTGCTGTGAGGAGGAATAGTGTTCCGCATTTTGAGAGCTGGGCTCATTACATTTGATCCCAGATTGGTTGTTCTCCAGCATTTTGAAACCCAAATATATCAATTTCAATATGTTTTGGCCATGGAAATATATGTATTTTTTCAGATCGACACAAAGCAAGAGTTGGAGCGGGACCGGAAGATGCTGGAAGACATCATCAGCAAAGACCCTCTGTCGGATCTGTCGGAGCAGGACAAAGATCTCCTGTGGAATAGGAGGTAGTTTAACACAAGCGTTGTCAGACTGACACCTGGGCTCAGCCTAGGGGTTAAAACCAATCACCCAGGTACCTGACCCTACCTGGGTACCTGACCCCCTATTACCTGACTCAACTTGAGTACCTGATCCCCTATTATCTGACTCTACCTGAGTACCTGACCCCCTATTACCTGACCCTACCTGGGTACCTGACCCCCTATTACCTGACCCAACTCGGGTACCTGACCCCCTATTACCTGACCCAACTCGGGTACCTGACTCCCTCTTACCTGACCCTACCTGGGTACCTGACCCCCTATTACCTGACTCAACTTGAGTACCTGATCCCCTATTATCTGACTCTACCTGAGTACCTGACCCCCTAATACCTGACCCTACCTGGGTACCTGACCCCCTATTACCTGACCCAACTCGGGTACCTGACCCCCTATAACCTGACTCAACTTGAGTACCTGACCCCCTATTACCTGACCCTACCTGGGTACCTGACCCCCTATTACCTGACTCAACTTGAGTACCTGACCCCCTATTACCTGACTCTACCCGGGTACCTGACCCCCTAATACCTGACCCTACCTGGGTACCTGACCCCCTATTACCTGACTCAACTTGAGTACCTGACCCCCTATTACCTGACTCTACCCGGGTACCTGACCCCCTATTACCTGACCCTACCTAGGTTCCTGACCCCCTATTACCTGACTTGACCCGGGTACCTGACCCCCTATTACCTGCCCCTACCTGGATACCTGACCCCTTATAACCTGACCCTACCCAGGTACCTGACCCCCTTATTACCTGATGCAACCCGGGTACCTGACCCCCTATTACCTGACTTGACTCGGGTACCTGAGCCCCTATTACCTGACTCGACCCGGGTACCTGACCCCCAATTACCTGACTCAACCTTGGTACCTGACCCCCTATTACCTAACACAACCCGGGTACCTGACCCCCTATTACCTGACCAAACCCGGGTACCTGACCCCCCATTACCTGACTTGACTCGGGTACCTGACCCCCTATTACCTGACACAACCCGGGTACCTGACCCCCTATTACCTGACTCGACCCGGGTACCTGACCCCCTATTACCAGACTCGACCCGGGTACCTGACCCCCTATTACCTGACACAACCCGGGTACCTGACCCCCTATTACCTGACTCGACCCGGGTACCTGACCCCCTATTACCTGACTTGACCCGGGTACCTGACCCCCTATTACCTGACCCTACCTGGATACCTGACCCCCTATTACCTGACCCTACCCAGGTACCTGACCCCCTTATTACCTGATGCAACCCGGGTACCTGACTTGACTCGGGTACCTGAGCCCCTATTACCTGACTCGACCTGGTTACCTGACCCCCTATTACCTAACACAACCCGGGTACCTGACCCCCTATTACCTGACCAAACCCGGGTACCTGACCCACCATTACCTGACTCGACTCGGGTACCTGACCCCCTATTACCTGACACAACCCGGGTACCTGACCCCCTATTACCTGACTCGACCCGGGTACCTGACCCCCTATTACCTGACTAGACCCGGGTACCTGACCCCCTATTACCTGACCAAACCCAGGTACCTGACCCCCCATTACCTGACTCAACCTGGGTACCTAACTCCCTATTACCTGACCCTACTCGGGTACCTGCCCCCCTATCACCTGACCCAACCAAGGTACCTGACCCCCCATTACCTGACCCAACTCGGGTACCTGACCCCCTATTACCTGACTTAACCCGGGTACCTGACCCCCTATTACCTGACCCTACCTGGATACCTGACCCCCTATTACCTGACCCTACCCAGGTACCTGACCCCCTTATTACCTGATGCAACCCGGGTACCTGACCCCCTATTACCTGACTTGACTCGGGTACCTGAGCCCCTATTACCTGACTCGACCTGGTTACCTGACCCCCTATTACCTAACACAACCCGGGTACCTGACCCCCTATTACCTGACCAAACCCGGGTACCTGACCCCCCATTACCTGACTCGACTCGGGTACCTGACCCCCTATTACCTGACACAACCCGGGTACCTGACCCCCTATTACCTGACTCGACCCGGGTACCTGACCCCCTATTACCTGACTCGACCCATGTACCTGACCCCCTATTACCTGACCAAACCCAGGTACCTGACCCCCCATTACCTGACTCAACCTGGGTACCTAACTCCCTATTACCTGTCCCTACTCGGGTACCTGACCCCCTATCACCTGACCCAACCAAGGTACCTGACCCCCCATTACCTGACTCAACCTGGGTACCTAACTCCCTATTACCTGTCCCTACTCGGGTACCTGACCCCCTTATTACCTGACCCAACTCGGGTACCTGACCCCCTATTACCTGACCCAACTCGGGTACCTGACCTTCTATTACCTGACCCAACCCGGGTACCTGACCCCCTTATTACCTGACCCAACTCGGGTACCTGACCCCCTATTACCTGACCCAACTCGGGTACCTGACCCCCTATTACCTGACCCTACCCGGGTACCTGACCTTCTTTTACCTGACCCAACCCGGGTACCTGACCTTCTATTACCTGACCCAACTCGGGTACCTGACCTTCTATTACCTGACCCAACCCGGGTACCTGACCCCCTATTACCTGACCCAACCCGGGTACCTGACCCCCTATTACCTGACCCAACTCGGGTACCTGACCTTCTATTACCTGACCCAACCCGGGTACCTGACCCCCTATTACCTGACTCAACTCAGGTACCTGACCTTCTATTACCTGACCCAACCCGGGTACCAGGAGAGGGAGAGAGAGATTTATTATGCTGCTTTGAAAAGTATTCCAGTTACATACTCACCAGAAGAAACGCGAATAAGATTACATGTTGGTTAATATATGAAGACTTACTCACATTCAAGAGATGTTAGATTGGTTGATGCACAAAAGAACATACTGGTATGTTGTGTGATCCGAAGCTCATGAAAGGCATCACATGGGACATCATAGATCCATGAGATGCACCATTGTCTCGTGCAGGATTAGCGTGTAAATTTGAAAATCATGTGCAGCATAAGAATAAAGACACTGTGGTAACACTTGACTGATTGTTAGTTTTTTCATTAAGTGGTACACATTAGAAACATCTCTTCTTAACGTACATACTTCTCTTTACGTTCCTATAGTTTGCGTTTCTTTTGGCAGTGAGTATGTTATGGTGTTTCAGCTCAATGTGGGAGAAAAGCCTGAAGTGATGCATGTCTCAGAGGTTTACAACTTTGTTCTCATGGATCATAGGTTCCTGGCATGCCCAAGGGAGGCAACTCAACACAACAAATTGCATTGCCTCGGACACCTGGGCGATCCATGTCCCTGCATTTGTCACTGGGGACCTATGCTGTCCCATAAAAGCCACACAAGCTTAAAATTAATATTTTTATTGCAGGGTCATCAGATCCTTGTATGGCTAAGGGATACAACTGTGCAAAACAAATTGCAGTGCCATATACCTTTTGGTCACTCATATAAAGTCAAGCCATGGAATTTCATGAATATTTGCTGTTTTGTTACAGGGAACTTTGTTTAAAGTTGCCCCAATCTCTGCCAAAGTTGTTATGCTCGGTCAAGTGGAACAATAGAGAGAATGTGGCACAGGTGGGTATATGTTTAAACATGCAGGGGGCCATTAGTGATATAGTCTTACTGTGAGAATTGAACAATGGTCTATTGCTAACTAAATTTAATTGTTATATAGTCTTACTGTGAGAATTGAACAATGGTCTATTACTAGCTAAGTGTAAATGTTATATAGTCTTACTGTGAGAATTGAACAATGGTCTATTACTAGCTAAGTGTAATTGTTATATAGTCTTACTATGAGAATTGAACAACGGTCTATTACTAGCTAAGTGTAATTGTTATATAGTCTTACTATGAGAATTGAACAATGGTCTATTACTAGCTAAGTGTAACTGTTATATAGTCTTACTATGAGAATTGAACACAGGCTATTACTAGCTAAGTGTAATTGTTATATAGTCTTACTGTGAGAATTGAACAATGGTCTATTACTAGCTAAGTGTAATTGTTATATAGTCTTACTGTGAGAATTGAACAATGGTCTATTACTAGCTAGGTGTAATTGTTATATAGTCTTACTGTGAGAATTGAACAATGGTCTATTACTAGCTAAGTGTAATTGTTATATAGTCTTACTGTGAGAATTGAACAATGGTCTATTACTAGCTAAGTGTAATTGTTATATAGTCTTACTATGAGAATTGAACAACGGGCTATTACTAGCTAAGTGTAAATGTTATATAGTCTAACTGTGAGAATTGAACAACGAGCTATTACTAGCTAAGTGTAATTGTTATATAGTCTTACTATGAGAATTGAACAATGGTCTATTACTAGCTAAGTGTAAATTTTATATAGTCTTAATGTGAGAATTGAACAATGGTCTATTACTAGCTAAGTGTAATTGTTATATAGTCTTACTGTGAGAATTGAACAATGGTCTATTACTAGCTAAGTGTAAATGTTATATAGTCTTACTGTGAGAATTGAACAACGGTCTATTACTAGCTAAGTGTAATTGTTATATAGTCTTACTGTGAGAATTGAACAATGGTCTATTACTAGCTAAGTGTAAATGTTATATAGTCTTACTGTGAGAATTGAACACAGGCTATTACTAGCTAAGTGTAATTGTTATATAGTCTTACTATGAGAATTGAACAATGGTATATTACTAGCTAAGTGTAAATGTTATATAGTCTTACTGTGAGAATTGAACAATGGTCTAATGCTTGCCAAGTGAAATTGTTATATCGTCTTAATGCAAGTATTGAAGCTTGGGGTCTCTGTGTGGGCAATGGCGTCTATGGTGGGTTCTGTCAAGTGATTATAGAATGGTCATTTATTGCAGCTGTATGTATTGTTGAGACTGTAGGATTCATGTTGTATTTTTGTATTGCAGCTGTATGTATTGTTGAGAAGATGGCCTTCGGTTTTGCCAGAGGTGGCCCTGGAACTGTTGGATTGCTCCTACTCCGATCTGAGGGTCCGACAGTTTGCCGTGGAATGTCTGGACCGTGGTCTCCATGATGACGAACTATCTCAGTATCTTCTGCAGCTTGTGCAGGTAGCCACTCATTCCAAGTTATCCTGTTCCTGGAGGGAAATATGGGTGACTCAGTTGTCTCAGGCACTGTAATTTGTGGTGCAGAGTTACCTCCCTTAGCCGTGCCAGACACCTGTGATTGTGGATTACCCTTGACTGTTGGAGGGACACATGGGTGACACAGCCATCTAAGGCACTGTAATTTGTTATGCAGTTGCCTCCCTTAGCCACCTGTGATTATGGGTTACCCTTGCAGTTCTTCTTTTGGATTCTGATTTGTTTTGATCATTTGAGTTATCCATGTGTATAACTGCCATCTGCCTGTCTTATTCTGCCATAAGCTGCACGGTGGATCTTTGACAAGACAGTCGGTACAGGAAGAGAGTCATGACGAAAAGGATCAGGTGTCTGACACAGTGATTGGTTGATTGCGGCGTGGTGCCCTGACAACACGGGATGTTTGACATTATGTCAATCACTGGTTTGTCTGGCCCAGATTTGATTTCTTCACAGGATGCCTTATAGCTGGAATATTGCTGAGTATGGTGTTAAACAAAAACAAACAAAAATGATTAACATACCAAAGAAGGTGATTCAAGAAGGATTCAAACCCCTGGCCAGAGTATCCTGTCACGGCTAAGGGCTGCAACTCTGCAGATAAAAGTCCAGTTCCTAAGACCACCAAGTCATCGAATGAGTGACCCTGTAAGGCAGTGGAGTTAAGGTGCAGTACAGAGACAGATACAGATCCAGTAGTTATCCTACGAACTGTGAAGGTCCAGGGTAGAATAGGTCTTCAGCAACCCATTCTTGCCGTAACAGGCGACTATGCTTGTTGTAAGAGGCGACTAACAGGATCGGGTGGTCAGGCTTGCGGACTTGGTTGATGCATGTCATCGTATCCCAAATGCGTGGATCGATGCTCATGATGTCAATCACTGGATTGTCTGGTCCGGACTCGATTATTAACAGACTGCCATCATATAGCTGGAATATTGCTGAGTGCGGCATTAAACAACAAACAAACAAAACAAACAAAAGTTTTTCAGGAGGGATAGAAATGCCTTTAACTGGTCCGTGACAAGTTGGTTAGTTGTGTTGTTGGCGGGGAAGATACGTATTTCTGTGTTGTGTTTGTTTTCAGGCCCTCAAGTACGAGCCATACCTGGACAATCCCCTCACCACATTCCTGCTGAAGAGAGCTCTTCTGTCTCAGAGGATAGGAAATTTCTTCTTCTGGCATCTCAAGTACGTCCCGACCGCCTCCGTGGTCTAGTGGTAGAGCGTCTGCCCGGAGAGCGGAAGGTCCGGGGTTCGATCCCCGGCCGCGTCATACCAAAAGACGTTAAAAGATGGTACTTGTTGTTACCCTGTCTTGCGCTCGGCATTATGGGGCTAAAACAAGGACTGGTCGGCTCGGAGTCAGTATACTGGGTCTGAGTGGGGTATTCATGTTCAAATGCGGCATGGTATCTCAGTGAGCTAGCACTATAAATCGGCATCAGTCCAGACTAGTACAAGCAGCGACACAAACACACGTGCATGCACATCGCTATATAAGTGCAATAATCTTGGATGCGACGTTAAACCCCATTTCACCTCACCTCAGCTGAAGTACGTCCCATGGGTGTGGTGACGAAGATATCTCCGTTCATTAACTGTGTTTAATCACTGTAAGTGTAGCTGTGTACAAAACTGTGCCTGATGCCATGTGCTTGCAGTCAGTCGCATCTTATGAGAGTTATCTCCCCTCTCCTGTCTTTGGCTGAGGCCCATTTAAGGATGGGGCCCATTTAGGGTTTAGCTAATACCACAATCGGTTGTTTGTAGTCTTTTAGTAATCCAAGTAGGTCGGTGTTGTTGTCATTCTGTCATCTGTAAGTCGTTCAATATGTGGTGCTAAAAAAAGGAGTTAGGTCAGAAGTCTGACAAGGCCTTGAATTTGGATCTGCCTTGAAAATTCCCTGAAATTTGATCTACCAAAGATGTGAATACGTCTTTGGATCTACCTTGAAAAAACCTTAAATTTTCACGTGCCTTGAGAGTCCATAAAAAGCCTCAAATTGACCTTGAATTTGACAGCAATGCTTAACTTTGTTGTTAAATAAATATGTATTAGAATTTGTTCTAAAATATAGGTCAAATGTCAAGGTCATTCACTTTTCTAAGTTTTGTTATGAATGTTATTTGTAAAATTATTAGTTTAAAGGGTGAATACTTGTTACATTTAATATTGATGTTCCTGGGCCTCAGTGAAGTGGTAAACACCCACAATCAATCGAGTGGTGTGGAAATATTATTATCATTATCATTTTTAGTAGTAGTAGTAGTCGTAGCCGTAGTCGTAGTAGTCGTAGTAGTCGTAGTAGTCCCATTTGGGGGACACCATACCTGTTACCCCATCCATGGCTTACCAGTAAAATATGGTACTTGTTGTTACCCTACCTGATGCTCAGCATTAAGAACTGGCCGACATGGAGTCAGTGTACTGTGTCTGAGTAGGGTATTCAAATTTAACAGCAGCAGGTTATCTCATGGCCTAGCTCTTTAAAACGGCATTGGTCTGACTGGTACAAGCACTATGCACATCGCTAAAAAGTGAAATAATTTTGAACATTAAATCCCATTTTACCTCACACTGTGATATGACTGAAACACCGTTCTAATCTCACTCACTCGATCACTCACTCACTCACTCACTCACTCACTCACTCACTCACTCACTCACTTCTCACTCACTCCAGATCGGAGATGCACCACACGTCATCTCGGTTGAGGTTTGGGCTGGTGTTAGAGGCGTACTGTCGAGGATGTGGGTCATTCCTGAAAAAGCTGAGTCAGCAAGTGGAGGCGTTGGAGAAGCTCACCAGACTTACCATCATGCTCAAGTCAGTGGTCAAAGATGTAAGCAATTAATTAATAAGGCTGTTCATTTGCCAAATAGGAATATATATTTGTCCTCAGTACCTCTGCTTGTCATGACACTTAAGTGCTCCTTGATTGGCTGATTGCGGGTCCTTGTCATGGTGTGATATTGCTCGTACTTTACCCTGGACCAGGTTTGATCATTTATATGCCGCTTTGATAAACATGGAATATTTCTGACTACAAGCGGTAGTCACTGTAAAGTAGGGTCAAAAGGAATCACACGCTTCATGGAAGTTGCCATTTGTTCATATAAAACTAGGATTTACAAAAACTAGGAATTATTAAACAGGAATCAGGTTGTAAAAAACGGAATCTGAACAACGCACATTCAAACACTTTCTCTGGTTGTATCAGTGACTATGCCGTATATTGCTGTCAACTGGTAATTGTCAGTTGCACTTGTATATGTTGGACTCATAATTTCCTAATCACATTGTTATGCTTTTTCTTTCAGGATGAGCAGATGAAGTTCCTGCAGGAGCAGCTGCAGCAGCCTGACTACCAGGAGGCGCTCAAGAGAATCATCTCCCCCCTCAACACAGCCCACATCCTGGGGGAGATCATGTGAGTCCCACCACCCCCCCCACCCTCAATTGATAGAAAAAAGCTGCTCAATTGAGCTGAGGTTAGCTTGTGCCAGCTTTTTGCTACGAAGCAGGGTATAAGGGATTTATTCTGCCTCTCAGAAATCCATGTGGAGCTTGACTTGCTCTTGGTGGGGTATAAGGGATTTATTCTTCCTCTCAGAAATCCATGTGGAGCTTGACTTGCTCTTGGTTGGATATAAGGGATTTATTCTACCTCTCAGAAATCCATGTGGAGCTTGACTTGCTCTTGGTGGGGTATAAGGGATTTATTCTACCTCTCAGAAATCCATGTGGAGCTTGACTTGCTCTTGGTTGGGTATAAGGGATTTATTCTACCTCTCAGAAATCCATGTGGAGCTTGACTTGCTCTTGGTTGGGTATAAGGGATTTATTCTACCTCTCAGAAATCCATGTGGAGCTTGACTTGCTCTTGGTGGGGTATAAGGGATTTATTCTACCTCTCAGAAATCCATGTGGAGCTTGACTTGCTCTTGGTGGGGTATAAGGGATTTATTCTACCTCTCAGAAATCCATGTGGAGCTTGACTTGCTCTTGGTGGGGTATAAGCGATTTATTCTACCTCTCAGAAATCCATGTGGAGCTTGACTTGCTCTTGGTGGGGTATAAGCGATTTATTCTGCCTCTCAGAAATCCATGTGGAGCTTGACTTGCTCTTGGTTGGGTATAAGGGATTTATTCTGCCTCTCAGAAATCCATGTGGAGCTTGACTTGCTCTTGGTGGGGTATAAGGGATTTATTCTGCCTCTCAGAAATCCATGTGGAGCTTGACTTGCTCTTGGTGGGGTATAAGCGATTTATTCTGCCTCTCAGAAATCCATGTGGAGCTTGACTTGCTCTTGGTGGGGTATAAGCGATTTATTCTGCCTCTCAGAAATCCATGTGGAGCTTGACTTGCTCTTGGTGGGGTATAAGGGATTTATTCTGCCTCTCAGAAATCCATGTGGAGCTTGACTTGCTCTTGGTGGGGTATAAGGGATTTATTCTACCTCTCAGAAATCCATGCTCAGCCTGTCTTGCTCATGGCAGGGTATAAGAGATTTATTCTGCCTCTCAGAAATCCACGTGCAGCCTGTCTTGCTTGTGGTGGGGTATAAGAGATTTATTCCGCCTCTCAGAAATCCACATGCAGCCTGTCTTTCTCATGGTGCGGTATAAGGGATTTATTTCCCTCCAAGGTGGGATGCATAGTATTCTATCAGGTCTCATCATTCTGACATTGAGATATGATAAAGAACATTGCCTACCACATCCAGTTGCCATGCAGTGATGTCATGGTAACAAAGTGTCCTTACACCCAACTCATTCCAGCCCTCATGTCCTGTTTCCAGACAAGCTGACTGTGCTGTCATGACCTCCAAGAAGCGCCCCCTGTGGCTGGTGTGGAGTAACCCAGACCCCATGAAAGATATGCATCAGTTCGACTACAGAGTCATCTTCAAGAATGGTGATGGTGAGCCTTTCTGTTATAAAGTGCTGTTCAGAGTTGTGTCCCTTAGGCATTACAGGAACTTATGACCATTGGATTCACCCAGATTATCTTTCCTGCGTTGTCAGCACCATACCCGTGCTTGTTGGTTTCAGCAATGTGGGTAATATCCTGTATGACTACCGTTTTTCCTCCGACATTAAACAAAATTGACACACCATGATGTACTTAGAATAATTTTCAAAGAGTTGTTAAATAGAGAATCTCATCTGAGTGTCTTTTGATATCAAATATATCAACGAGTGTTGATATATTTGATATCAAAAGACACGAGGGTGAGATTTTGCGTGGCTAATTCGTTTGCTCAGTGGACCAAAAAACAGGGTTCCCTTCCACACAATGTGACACAGATGGACTATAGCTACAGCAGCAGGGAACGAACACACACTGCACCAAATGGCTGTATCAAGCTTAAGATGTTCGTGGACCGCCTCCGTGGTCTAATGGTAGAGCGTCCGCCCGGAGAGCGGAAGGCCCGGGGTTCAATCCCCAGCCGCGTCATACCAAAAGACGTTAAAAGATGGTACTTGTTGTTACCCTGTCTGGAGCTCGGCATTAAGGGGCTAAAACAAGGACTGGTTGGCTCGGAGTCAGTATACGGTGTCTGAGTGGGGTATTCATGTTAAACTGCGGCATGGTATCTCAGTGTGCTAGCAATATAAATCCGCATTAGTCCAGACTAGTACAAGCAGCGACACAAACACACGTGCATGCATGTCGCTATATAAGTGTAATAATCTTGGACGCGACGTTAAACCCCATTTCACCTCGCCTCACCTTAAGATGTTCGTACATATTTCCTTGTTGAGGTTTGACTGTCTCTGCAATCATATTGACAATGTAATGTTGTCCTATACTCAGCCAGCATGAAGAGTGTCTCTTGTGTAGAACTGGTGATACTTTTATCTGTATATTCATGACGGCCTTTGTATTACGACCTTTGTGAAATAATGTTGCCATCATTCAAGAAACTATTCGGTGAGCTACAGTGCCTGGTGGTCTTTGTAACCAGCCCAGGAAGACACAGGTTCTACTTGAATCGTGATTGTTGTTCCAGATCTGAGACAGGACATGCTGACTCTCCAGGTCATCCGGCTGATGGACACCATCTGGAAGGCTGAAGGCCTCGACCTCAGGTGGGGGAACAAATATCTGCACATGACCACCTACAGTGACAATGTTCTGACCGACCAGGGGCAATAGCTATCCCCAAAAACAAAATGAAAATATTACGAAGGATGAGAATACATTTCTAAACCTTCTAGTTCTGCATTAATTAAAATAATTTATGAGACATCTATCATCCTGAGGTTTTTACCTTATATTAAAAATTGTTTCCTTGACAAGCCTGATGAAACAAATGTCTTTGTTTGGCGCCCTATGTTTCAAAGCAGCAACTGGAAAAATATCCTGTCTCTTAAGCAACCCGGGGGCACGGGTGGCCCAGTCGTCTAAGGCGCCGCGATTCGCTGTGCAGTGTTGCGTCCCTTGGGCACGCCAGAAATCTATGATTGTGGGTTCGAATCCCGGTTCGCCCTGATTATGTTTCTAGGTTTGTCAGCACCATACCCGTGCTCGTGGGTTTCACCGAAGTGGTAAACGTCTGAGACCTGCATCACTTCGGGCTTTCCTCCCACATTAAGCTGACACGCCGCGATATAACTGGAATACTGTTAAAAGCGGCGTTAAACCCAACTCACTCACTCACTCACTCACTTAAGCAACCCATGCTTCTCGTAAAAGGCTACTAACAGGATCAGGTGGTCAGATTCGATGACTTGGTTGATGCATGTCATTGTATTCCAGTTGCATAGATTTTCATGATATCAATCACTAGATTATCTGGTCAAGACTCAATCATTTACTTAACGCTATCATAGAGCTGGAATAATGCACAAAGTTAGATTACCTGCGGAGCTACAGAGTGTTTGTTTTTCAGGATGATTCCCTATGCATGTTTGGCGACAGGGAAGGATGTGGGTCTCATTCAGGTAGTTCGGAACGCCAAGACGATTACGTCGATACAGTCCGGTGGGGGAGCTCGGGCCACCATACAGATGGACTCCTCCCAGCTTCATCGGTGGATCAAGGAGAAGAATGCAGACAGGTACAGTTTTGGGCTATAGCATACGACTCGGGTAGAATACGTCTGCAGCACTTGCATGCTTGTTGTAAGAGGCCACTAAAATCGATAGAAGAGTGAGTATTACACTACTTTTGGTGTTGTTTGTTTGTTGTTTAATGCTAAACTCAGCAATATTCCTGCTATATGAAGGCGGGCTGGACCAGACAATCCAGTGATTGACATCATGAGCATCTATCAACACAATTGGGACCAATGACATGCATCAACCAAGTCAGCGAGCTTGACCATCCGATCCCGTTACTCGCCTCTTACCACAAGCAAAGTCGCATTTTACGGCAAGCATGGGTTGCTGAAGACCTATTCTACCCCGGATCTTCACAGGTCACTTTTAGTAATATTCCAGCAATAACATGGCAGGGGCACCAGAAATGAGCCTCACTGAGATTGTACTGATGTGGGGAAACAAGCCCGGCGTGACGAGCGATAGCTTCTAGGGCTGGGACGGGTACTTGGGTCGGGTAGGTCATGAGTAGGACCGGGGTACCCACAGGACTACCCGGACTCGGTTAGTCACGTGATATATTGTTTGATGACAAAAACTCACTATAGCTCATTGGTTACACTACAAGCAGCTAATGTTCGCATTTCTTTCTGACGCACACATTCCTTTTGGCTGGTATATGTTTCAGTAAAGATAAAACTTCAGTCAACGTCAGTGTATTGATCGTTTGATACAAGAATCTAAATAGTTCTGGCCAGGGCTGCAATAAAACAATTCCCAATCAGACATTTTGTTCCCAACTCTTGAGACCTGCAGTGGGTACCCGGTAGGGCCGGGTAATAGGGGATCGGGTACCTGGGTAGTAAATTTGGACTCGTCCCAGCCCTAATAGCTTCCACCCCTAGGTATCTCCTTTGGCGAGAACACTCATCTTCATAGTCACGATTTTGACTGTTGCACATTCGATGCCTGGCGAAGGAGGGCAGTTGAAAAGACCGAGGGTTTGATAATGCCCTGAAAAATAGCGTTACCATTATTATAGTTTAAATGTATTGAATTTGTTGTCAAATAAAAAGAAACAACAATATCGGTTCTGAATCATTTATACTGCAATCAACACGAATGTCACTGACCCACTATTAGAAACATGGAAACATCAAAGAACAAACCAGATGACGTCACTATTGAACGTGACGTCACCTATCTCCGTCATCAAGAAATATCAGGGCATTATCAAGTTACAGTGGCCCGCTCATTTGTGGTAACAACATCCTGGGCATTTGTACAGGTATGACCAAGCAATCGACGCCTTTACCAGATCGTGCGCTGGATACTGCGTCGCCACGTTCGTGCTGGGCATCGGCGACAGGCACCCAGGGAACATCATGGTGACGGAAGAAGGACAGGTGAGAGAAACTGAAAAATTAATTTTCAGTTATTTTTGTTGTTTATTTGTTGCTTTACGCCACACTCACCAATATTCCAGCTAAATGATGGCGATCTGTAAATAATCAAGTCTGGACCAGACAATCCAGTGATTGACTACATGAGCATCGATCCACGCTACTGGGATCGATGACATGCATCAACCAAGTCAGCGAGTCTGACCACCCAATCCCGTTAGTCGCCTCATGATTAATTAACCTGGCCCTTGAGGATTGGGGAAACTGGCCCCAGAAAACTCGTAACTGGTCTTCTAGGAAAAGCGGGAGGGGGGGGGGGGGGGGGGGGGGGGGATCAAGTTGGAAGTACTTTTGGGTCAGTTCTTTGGGTCAATGTTTGTGCCATGAATCCAGTTTAGATGTGGGAGTTGTGATTTGGGTTTATCATCCAAAACTGGCTCCCACAGGAGATATTGCTTGGGTGAGATCAAGCGATATCTATACTGTAGATATCGCTGCAATGAAATTGCATCACAATGCTTTGCAGACCATTGTGACGTCATTGGTTACCATGACGTCACAATCAAATGACATCACTAATGGCTCTGCTACTGAAGCTTTTAGCAGTACTTTTTACACTTAAGACACTGCTTATTACTTTCTACAAACTGAAAAAGTTGAAAGAATGATGTTGGATGATAAATAAAATCTCACCCTCGTGTCTTTTGACATCAAATATATCAACACTCGGTTATAAAAGTGGAAAACATCCTCGGCAGGCCTTGGAGTTTTCCCACTTTTATCAACTCATGTTGATATATTTGATATCAAAAGACACTCGGGTGAGATTCTCTATTTACCAATGCATTCAGCAGTATTACAGTTGAATCACTGCATGACGGGCTCAGAGGTAAGACTTAGACATTTACTACTTGGAAGAAGCCCACAATGCCAAGGCAATGATCATAACCATCATAAATTATAGCACAATTAAGGGAGACAACTCTATACAGCTTTGAATGAGTGGGTCACAGGGGCCCCTTGACATGGAGGAAACTTGCAAAGCAGATATTGTTGAAAATATTAAAATATTTTTCAGGTATTCCATATAGATTTTGGACATTTCTTAAACCACAGAAAGAAAAAGTTTGGGATCAACAGAGAGCGTGTTCCGTTTGTCCTGACTGAGGATTTCCTCCGAGTGATAGCCAAGGGTGCGGACCAGCCGTCGAAACAGAAGGAGTATGAGCGGTAAGTACAACACAGTTACCATCCTCTAGGTCACCTTGACATCGTCAATGCAGATTTATGTCTTTGGTCCTTGTCCTCTACGTGTCCAAAAGCACGATAATATTTTCTCTGCAAAAAAATCAAGATGTCTTCACTTTTGCAGTTTAATTTGGAATACATAACCTTCAAGCCCTTCTACTCTTCATTTTTTAGACATTGTTGTGAAAAGTTTCTCCGTTACAAAGCATTCATTCACCTGACGAAGGAGTACGTATATACTCCAAAACATTGTGTTCCTCATAATAAAGAAGTTGACATCCATAAATCCACTACTAATTCAAACACTTTCCGACACTGATGTAAAGAACCCATGTGTGTTAGAACAGGCCTCCAGGTTAGACCAGCCCTCCGGGTTAGACCAGGCCTCCCGGTTAGACCAGGCCTCCGGGTTAGACTAGGCCTCCGGGTTAGACCAGGCCTCCAGGTTAGACCAGGCCTCCGGGTTAGACCAGGCCTCCGGGTTAGACAAGGCCTCCGGGTTAGACCAGGCCTCCGGGTTAGACCAGGCCTCCGGGTTAGACCAGGCCTCCGGGTTAGACCAGGCCTCCAGGGTAGACCAGGCCTCCGGGTTAGACCAGGCCTCCGGGTTAGACCAGGCCTCCGGTTAAGACAAGGCCTCCGGGTCAGACCAGGCCTCCGGGTTAGACCAGGCCTCCGGGTTAGACCAGGCCTCCAGCAACCTGTGCGTGTCCCAGGAGGCAACGTAAGGGGTCGGGTGGTCAGCATCCGTGACGAGGTTGATTGTGTGTCATACCCTGGTGGTTTCCATGGTGATGCAAATAGAGTAAAGTGCTATTTTCATATGTATTATAATCGTCTCTCATCAAGTCCTCTACCTAAAATATCCAATATATGGCAACCTGTGGATTCCGGGAAGAATAGGTCCCCTGTATCCCATGCTTGTCGAAAGAGGTGATCAGGTGACTCTTTCTCCCGCCTTGGCATTCATCACATGACTGATGGGGGCAGTGTCAAATGTGATGCATTCGAATAGGGGTTGTATCACAAACATATTTATGATTTTAAACCTGTTATTATTTTATCATAAAGGGATTTTTTATAATGACAATGTAAATAGATTTATGTCATGTATGTATATAGACAATGTGGTTTACCTTCTTAAATATATACTTTAACCAAAGCTTACATTCGTGTCCGCACACAGTTGTATACCGCCAAACCCCTAAATTGTCCATTTCTACCTGCTAGAGGATTGGATATAGTTATGCGTAATCTTGAATTACGAATGCAAATAAAATCTAAACACTGAAACACAGAATAAACATATAACTACAGGACTTCCGGCAATTGGAATGTGTTAACAGATATACACACACTCACATATGCACACACACACACACTTCACACAGACTACACACATACACACAGATACACACTACACAGACACACTTCACACAGACACACACACAGACTACACACACACTCACTTCACACACACAGACTACACACACACTCACTTCACACACACAGACTACACACCCACACACAAATACACACTACACAGACATACACACACACTCACTTCACACACACAGACTACACACCCACACACAGATACACACTACACAGACATACACACACACTCACTTCACACAGACACCCACACAGACTAAACACCCACACATACACACACACCACACACAGATACACACTACACAGACATACACACTCACTTCACACACACACACACCACACACACACACACAGATACACACTACACAGACATACACACACACTCACTTCACACAGACACCCACACAGACTAAACACCCACACATACACACACCACACACAGATACACACTATACAGACATACACACACACTCACTTCACACACACAGACTACACACCCACACACAGATACACACTATACAGACATACACACACACTCACTTCACACACACAGACTACACACCCACACACACACTCACTTCACACAGACACACACACAGACTACACACCCACACATACACACAACACACAGATACACACTACACAGACATACACACACACTCACTTCACACACACAGACTACACACCCACACACAAGACACAGATACACACTACACAGACATACACACACACTCACTTCACACAGACACCCACACAGACTAAACACCCACACACACACACACAACACACAGATACACACTACACAGACATACACACACACTCACTTCACACACACAGACTACACACACACACACACAAGACACACAGATACACACTACACAGACATACACACACACTCACTTCACACACACAGACTACACACACACTCACTTCACACAGACACCCACACAGACTACACACACACACACACACACACACACACACACACACACACACACACACACACACACACACACAGATACACACTACACAGACATACACACACACTCACTTCACACACACAGACTACACACACACACAGATACACACTACACAGACATGCACACACACTCACTTCACACAGACACCCACACAGACTACACACACACACACACACACACACACACACAGATACACACTACACAGACATACACACACACTCACTTCACACACACAGACTACACACACACACAGATACACACTACACAGACATACACACACACTCACTTCACACAGACACCCACACAGACTACACACACACACACCACACACACACACACACACACACACACACACACACACTCTCACTGTTTGGGGTGTTATTGCAGGTTCCAGGAGCTGTGTGTATCTGCCTTCGTCGTCCTGCGGGAAAATAAACGGTTGCTGATCACCCTGTTCTCGCTGATGTTGTCGTGCGGAATCCCGGAGCTCCAGTCTCTCGACGACATTGAGTACATACGCAAGACACTGTCAGTGGAGAAGACGGAGAAGGAGGCTGTCAAGTACTTCATCGAGCAGCTCCAGAAGGCTTACGGAGGCCAGTGGACGACCAAGGTGGACTGGCTCTGCCACAACGTCAAGGGCTTGTGGTGATCACATGGAGGCTGTGAATGTTGAGTGACAATCATCCGACTTAAACATGGTTTAAAATCCCATTTTGTAACTAAAGTAGATTAACTATTTGAATGAAGACTATTTGATTTGTCTTGTGAATTAAAGTTCCAATCATCAATTCCCATTTCACAGACTCTAACAATGTTGCTTCAAGACCTTATGAAGCAAAAATTGTAATTGATATTTTATGTCCAGATAAGACCAGGGGTAGTGCCAGGGGTAGTTCCAGGGGTAGTGCCTGGGGTAGTGCCAGGGGTAGTGCCTGGCCCAGACAAGAAAAGATAAGACAAGTTTAGAAAACATAAGTAATATTATGAAATGAAGTTCAGAGGCTATTGTTATGCTGGTGATGTTGATGGTAAGATTGATTTTAGAGGAATGAATATGATCAACTCAATTTTATTTTATTTTTTCAATTGGACATTGATATAGACTCCCATTTACACTCACATCCACTCACATTCTGTAAGACAGGAAAAAGATTAATATAACGATGTCAGACAGATATGTATGTAAGCAAGAACAGTGTACATCTTTCATCAAGACCACTGCCCTCCAGAAGTCACTACATCTGCATCAGCTAGTTCATGGTAAAACATACACTTGGTATAAGACTTAGCTGGATGGATTTTGCTATTGTTATGAAAAAATTGATATCTACCCTCCAGTGACTTCTGTTTCACTCCTGTTTTCTACATATATTTAGTAACCAATCAATGTACTTTATATACTGTAAACAGGGATTTTTTTGCGACCGTTTTATTATTGCGAGTTTTGCGAACGAGACTCATTCGCAAAAATTAAAAACTCAAAAATAAGTATAACTAATACATACATACTTTATTCATTGCAACACGTCATCAAATGTTGAAATCATCAACCAGAACCACAAGTTACTCAATAAGTTAAAAACACAAATGAATGCAGAATGGTCACACTATACATCACAAATGACAGTGTCACTGTTACCTCACAGTAATCCTGCCTTCTCCCAACCTCGCTTGATTGTGTCAGTGTCCTTTGCAATTTTGTCCACACAGGAAACAAGCCATCTTGCGTGTACCTTTATGTATCTCCACATTGTCACAATTTGTGAGTGATGAACAGGAAAGGGGGCGTAGACAGGAAGTCAGTATTAATCTTATACAGACTCCCTAGGATGGGAATAACAAATTTATATCTCACTTCTGGTAAACACTTATTTACCTTACCCATTGATCGTTAACCATCATTGAGGTAGCCCAGCTGACAAAAATAATTGAAACAGACATAAAATATTCAAAACGGAGTATCCCACCCGAGTGTCTTTTGATATCAAATATATCAACAAGAGTTGTTAAAAGGTGGAAAAACTCTGATGTATGCTCCCCATGGAGCTGAGAATGAAATTAGAGTGCATCCACTGACCGGAATAAGAATGTAGTGCTTTGAGCATGGATTTGGTGCTTTATTGATTCTTAATTATTAAAAGGACAAAGAAAATAAACTTATTTTAAGATGGAACCAGATTGCCAAACTGAATTTCTTTGCTCATGCTGTGTTGAACTTGTTTCCAGTTTCTGCGCTGATTTTTTTACATGTGTTCAATCATCCTCAAAGTTTACACAATATCTTAACTTGGCGTAGTGTGATATTTTACTTATTTACTATTGAGGAGTTTGTGGTTATTGTGTTTCATCTGTACGGGACTAGCCATTGGATATTCGGGGATGGGGCAATTATTGATTTTGTATAATTTGTTGAGGAATTAAATGGAAAACAAATACTTAGTCCTCAGCTAAAAAATAATTGTTCACAGGATATCATTGATGTTGTGTAGAAAATGTTTGTGATAAAAATTAATTTGTTCTGCTCTGCCTTTCAAAGACAACATGTTATGAAGCAGTGATTAAAGAAAATCTTGTTGCTTACAAACCACCCCCAACACCACCCCAAAAAACCAACACCCCCAACACCCCCCAAAAAACCCAACACCCCCAAAAATCCCCAACACCCATAAAAAGACCCAACACCCCAAAACACACCCCCACACAAATAATAAATGGTGGTTCCTAAGTTACAATGGATTGTTTTATTTCCAAATATGTCCCGACTCAAATAATGCTGTAGAAAGAAAAATATTTACCGTAACCCAAATGATAGTCTAATGTAAAATGTGATATTTAAATTTAATACTTGTGTGTGTTTACGTGTCATGTTTGTCTACTATATAGATTTTACACATACTAGGATAAGCATGCAGACAATAAAGTGACTGGTTTTCATTTTTTTTTTTTTTTAACACATTTGGCCCACAGGAGTGAAAAGAGAAAATTATTATTATTTTTTCTTATTTTTTCGACTGATCACTTTAATGTTTTTGATTGATTAGAAATGACTACAGAAATCTAACAAAAAGTAACATGACTTTTTAAATAATACCTAGGACTGAAACATTTATATCTATCCTCAGACTGGCTGCTATGATCCAAGCTGCACTGACATGAGTGAGTGAGTGAGTTGGGTTTAACGCTGCTTTTAACATCATTCCAGTTATATCACGGCGTGTCAGCTTAATGTGGGAGGAAAGCCCGAAGTGATGCAGGTCTCAGACGTTTACCACTTCGGTGAAACCCACGAGCACGGATATGGTGCTGACAAACCTAGAAACATAATCGGGGTGAACTGGGATTCGAACCAACAATCATAGATTTCTGGCGTGCCCAAGGGACGCAACTCTGAAAAGCGAATCGCGGCGCCTTTGACGACCGGCCACCCGTGCCCCCTACTCTTACAAGAGTAAACACAGGCCGTGTGTGATAGCCTGCTGGTCTATGGCCAGCAAACTTTCACTCAGGCTAAATGACTGGCTACTGAAATTGTAACGGGCAATTTTTTTATGCACACAAAAGTTCTCCCATTTCTGTACATCAATAGATCATCATAAATTAAAAATATATAATTAATATCCATAACAAATATTTGTTGCTAGATTAGAATTATCCCTGTTTCATCTTGTCACTGTAACATTGTGTGTAACAAATGTGTTTTGATTGGTTGTAGTTTAACCAATCACAAACTGTGTTACTTAACAAACTTTTATTACCAATGTCATTGTGGGGATGAATATACTGGAGCTTATTTAGGTTAGTGAAATTTGGAACTGGGTACTCAATTTTGAGGCTAGCTAGCCCAACTGGCCAGCGATATTTGGAGACTACTTCAGTACTGAACACAGGCCCAGGTTACTGCGAGAACGTTAAACATCCTGCACTTTAACAGAACTGGCCTTGCTTCCATGCTCAACTGACCAATAATGTTATAAGGCACAGATTACCCAGTCGTCGCAGTTATTCACTGTGCAGAGTTGCGTCCCTTGATTATGCCAGGAACCTATGATTGTGGGTTCAAATCCCGGTTCTCCCTAATAATGATTCTAGGTTTGTCAGCAACATATCCATGCTCGTGGGTTTCACCAAAGTGGTAAATGTCTGAGACCTGCATCACTTCAGGCTTCCTTCAATACTGTTAAAAACGGTGTTTACCTCAACTCACTCGCTCACTACATATAGGTTACTCACATATGTTACAAAAGTATGTTTATTTGTTTGTTGTTGTCAAAGCTATGACCAAACTGTTGTTTGCTTTATACATTAATTTCCTACAAATGTTATATTTACAGTTTCATTAATATATTAATGATAAATGTTAATATTTTTCAAATTTACATACTTTAATAAAATTATAAGAAATTAAAATATTATGAGTTTATGTATATCTTGACATAAGAAATGAGCCATAGTTTGTTATAAATAACAGATTGAAAGGTGTTGAGAAATCGGTTTCTCATCAGGAACTGAATCTCAGACTGACCACACGAGTGAGTGAGTGAGTGAGTGAGTGCACGATGACCCTATAGGGCTAGGGATCATAGTGGTTTGATTATCATTGCTTGTGTGGGACTAACACATCAAGTAATGGAGGTCTGGTCACAAGGGTCTTATTCTTAGTTTGTTTATTTGTTTGTTTCACCTGCCCTGAGCAATATTCCAGCTACTTGACCTGGGTCGAGTAATCAATCAAGGCTGGACCAGACAATCCAATGATTAACATATCTGTCAAAACTTGCCATATGATGTTTGCCGTATGATGTTTTCTTCAAAGATTTAGTTCGGAAAGTGATGTCAATTTTATTGTATGGTGCCGAAATATGGGGACTAGAACATGACTTGATTGTAAGCTTAGCAGAGTTATTGAAGGCATTTATGTCCAGGCATGCAAATATTTCCTAGGTGTGAAGTCGTCAACTCTAAATCATGTTGTTCATGTTGAGTGAGGGTGATACCCTGTATATATTTATGCCTACAAGTGTTGTATAAAATATTGGTATAAATTATTATCCATGACAGACTTGCGACTACCAAAGAAATGCTATAATATGATATTGTTAGATATGAGTCATGGTAAAAGCAATTGGGCTTCAAAGTTAAGAAATGTATTATTTAAAATGAGATTTGGTAATGTTTGGGATAATCAAAGCATTGGTAGTATTCAATCATTTTTATTAGAATTTATGGTAAGCGCAAAATGTATTTATCAACTAGACTGGCATGCATTCTTGTCACATGGTGCTAAAACATTCAATTACACAATGTATAAATCTATAGTGTGTCAAGAGTGTTATATTAAGTATCTTTCTATCCATAGGTTTCGTGTAGCTTTAGCAAAGTTTAGATGTAGTTCTCACCAACTAAAAATTGAGACTTGCAGATATTCAGATGTAGAAATGAAAGGTTTTGCAATGTTTGTAAAAAAGGTTTCGTTGAGGATGAGTATCATTTCTTGTTTGTATGCACGGTGTATGCCGAATTGCGGGAACAGTACATTCCAAGAAACTACTATGTATTTCCCACATTACATATATTCAATGTCTTGATGTCAAGTGATAAATGTAATATCATAAGCAATTTGGCTATGTATATTTATAAGTCTATGCAATTAAGGACAAAACTGCTGATGTAAATTTCAGTTATAACAATGGCTGCTGTACAACTCCTGTGACATGGGCGGATGGCCTAGTAACCTTCCTGAATAAACAACAACAACAACAACAACAACATCATTAACAGGGATCCAAGTAATTGGGATACGATAACAGGCAATCTACCAAATCACCGAGCCTGCCCACTCAATACATTTTGTCGCCTCTTACAACAAGCAAAGGTTTCGGGGAACCTATATTCATTCCCGGAATCACCATCGGTCAATTCTCAGTGGTCAATGGAACAGAGAGTATTTGTATCATTCTCACCACGTAATGGTGATCCAGAGGACCCGAAGAGAGACTGGTATTCAGACTATATTGTGACTTCATGACCAGTTTCATAAAATTGTACAACTGATTTGTCTCAAACATCGAGAGACTCGTGAAGATCCGGGGTAGAATAGGTCTTCAGCAATCCATGCTTGCCATAAAAGGCCACTATGCTTGTCGTAAGAGGCGACTAACGGGATCGGGTAGTCAAGCTCGCTGACTTGGTTGATGCATGTCATTGATCCTAGTTGCGTGGATCAATGCTCATGATGTCAACCACTGGATTGTCTGTTCCAGACTCGATTATTTACAGACCGCCGTCATATAGCTGGAATATTGCTGAGTTCTGCGTTAAACAACAAACAAACAAACAAACAAACCACTGATTTGATTTCACTCCACACACCACAGGGGCTTGTGTGAATTGTAACGCAAAAAAATAGCAAAAATAGCAGCTACAAGATAATGGTCACAACACTATTGCTTGAAGCGCTCGTACAATCCCCATCTCGCCATGTCGCGCGACTGACAACCTGTCCAAATACACGTTATTTGATTTGGCAAACAACCTCACCCCAGGTGTTGACAGGTCAAACTGACCTAGCGCCGCATCAGAAACAAACAATCCCCTTCGTGACAAGAAGCAGGACGATTGTGTATCTACAAGGTCGACGGAATAACTTCGCCTGAAGACAGACCTTACGGCGTGCTGTTGACTTAGCACTGGGAGCGACCAAGAGCGAGTTTTGTCACGTTGTCACGGACTCTCTATCGTGACATCGCCAAAAGCGGGATTTTATGTTAATAAGTCACTGTCGGAAGTGGCCATGAAGTATTTGACTTGTTAACCGTGATTTGAGTGTTTCACGCATGTAATTCTTTGTGAAAACATCCGAAACTTGATCTATGTCGTCATCTGGGCCATCTATAACATGGGAAGATTTCAACAGGAATTAAACTGAGAAACACGGTTGAAGTTAAATATTGTAGAACTCCTCTCACCTCATGCTGTCAACACTGCAAGTGCATATCCTTTATGAAAACAATAAAAAAACAAAGGAAGAGAATTTATAGATGTCAACTTCTTTATTATGAGGAACACAACGCGAATTCCCCTGATGAAGGAGTAAGCATATATACTCCGACACGTGTTCCTCCTAATAAAGAAGTTGACATCCATAAATTCTCTTCCTTATGTGTATCACTTCTAAATGCCTTTCAAAGACTTGAATAAAAACAAGCAATAAACACATATTATGTTCAAGCAAAAGAGAAGTTGTTTTACTCTATCTTTTTTTTCATATAATATCAGTTTATTGTATTTGTGGGATAACCATTTTTTAGCCGCCAATATACTGGTGATATATTCTTACATATACGATTTTACGCTTTCAAATCGTCAAAATATCTTTATGCTAAATCGTCATGTAATGTTTTTGTTGTTGTTTACAGTGGATATTTCTGAGCGGTTTGTGTACACAAACATTTGGAAACAGTATACTTCTACAATGTGTACTCTAAACAGATTGTTGAGTGAATGTTCTTTAACGCCACAGTTCGCGATAGTTTATCTACATGACAGCGACCTGTAAATAACCGAGTGTGGACAAGACAATCCAGTGACTCTCAGCATCAGCAACAGCAACGATCCACACTATCGGGGTACGTTGACACGCTGTCGTCCAAGTCTCCGAGTCTGACCACCCGGATAATCTTCCTCCACTGGTTTCCCTATATTGGATATAACGACTTGATGAGAGGTGATTACAAGATATACTTGCCCTAACAATAGCATTATGTTCTAAACCTATGAATTAGCCAGTGCAAAACGTTCGTGCAAGAAGTGTAATTCGAGGTATATATATTTACCCGTGCACAGATTCCGATTTCCGGAAATCATGTAGTTACAAGTCTATTCTGTGTTTCAGTGTTTAGATTTATTGTCATTCGGAATTCAGGATTACGCATTACTATATCCAATCCTCTAGCAGGTAGAAATGGACAAATTAGGGGTTTGGCGGTGTACAACTGTGTGCGGACACGAATGTAAGCTTTGGTTAAAATATATATTTAAGAAGGTAAACCACATTGTTTATATACATGACACAATTCTACCTCAATTGTCGTTATAAAAAATCCCTTTATGATAAAAGAAAAACAGGTTTAAAATCATAAATACGTTTGTGATACGACCCCTATTCGAATGCATCACATTTGACACCGCCCCCATCAGTCATGTGATGAATGCCAAGGCTTGAACGGGATAATGAACAGCACGTTTAAACCCAAATCTAAGTGTTTATACGTCAATTATATTTTGTTGAAATAAAGAATGTTCGAAAAATTAAAAGTTCGAAGTTTAAGAAATATAATTAAATAAACACGAAATTGTAGTTTAACGTTATGTTACGCTGTATTTGATTTACTAACGGACAACATCGTTTCTTCATTTCAAAACCCATACCGGCATCCACGGAAACAATCAAATATTACCACACGTCTCCATTGATTGGAATGTAACTTAAACATTGCAATCGAGCATTATTAACGCTGAACACGCAATGACCTCTTTTATAAATCGAAGACTTAGAAAGCCAATTTGAAACAGAGCAGATCTCGAATAATACATGACCACAATGCCGAGTGTGGACCTTGGCACATACATTTTACTATACTTCTGGTTATCACGATTTGCGATTAAACATTGCTGTTACTCTCAGTCTGTAAAAAGGTACGACTTTTTTTATTACATTGTGACGTTTTCCTGTAGCTGCAACAAGCGAAGAATTCACTGCTAAACCTGCTTTTGTACAGGGCTGCTCATTTTTATATGGCAAATGGATTTTATGATAAGGCAACACTTGGGCTCAATTAAATGCTTCAGCGATGCATGTCCTAACGACTGTTGAGGAAATACACTTTACACACGTCAATACAGAATTTCGTTTTGCATAATGTATTTTGAGCCTTCGCGGTTTTCCTGTTGAAACTGACACCTTCGAGTGACAAGTCGCCTTTGATCCCTGACGCGTGTAATGTGCCCCGCCCCCTTTGACCCTATGTCAATAAGTGAAGATGTGACCCATTGACCCGGAAGCACTGACCGGGCACGCGCATCTGTCAAAGAAAGATGGCGGTGTGGCAAAACAAAGATTGGCGTTCAACTAGTTGTCGGCAAACTTTGTTACTGCTGGTAGCATGATAATTCCTCAAAATGTATTTGGCGAAGGCAAAGAAGCAGCTCGAGCAACAAGATGCAAAAGAGTTGCAGGAACGACGGGAACGCCATGTCGAGCGAGGATACCAGAGGTCCAATTCCACGTCTGGTATACCGGATAGGGTGCAAAAAGTTACCGAACTCAAACTTGATGATTTGCCTGACGGTGCCTGTTTTAGACCCAAAAATGTCTTACAGGGCGACCAGAAAAGCAGCGATACAGCTGTGCGACCTGCCGAGGTAAGAATATGTTAATTTTATCGAATTTTTCAGTGAATAACTTTTGTATGGCGGAAAAGACCGTTTGTTTACGGTTTGAAAGGAGTCAACTTACAAAGTCGATGGGCCTATTGTGTTGAGATGTTGATGTAGTATTCCTACTTCACGTTACACAAACATGTTCAAGCGTTCCACTTAATTGAAATAGATTTAAAAAATATACTTTAAAATTGCTAGTAGTGTTGTTGAATTTGTTTCTAGTGTAATATGGGTCAGATGGACGTAATGTTGGTGTATCCAAGTGAAATATTGATTAATAACCAGCTGTAAAATTGTTGTTGTTGGTTGTTACACGTGTTACTTCCAAAGTCAACTGTTTTGCATTTGTTTGAAATTCTGATCAAACTTAAAGCTTCATATTGGGCTCATACGTCTGGTTATGTTATTAAAATTGACATATATGTTTTTGCTACTTTTTAATTATTAATTGATCATTAAGCTGTGTACACAAAAACATCAATTCCTATTTGACTAAAATCAAATATGATGAATCTATGAAGAATGGTTAACTTGGTTTAGATATTGAAGAAATAGGGATGTTATTTGTAGAGAAAATGTATTAGTTTTATCTAAGATCAGTTGCACATTACTATGTACATGTGAAATTATTGATTAATTACCCCTTATCTGAAGTTGCTAGTAAATTTACTAGTTATGAATATTTGATTGATAAACACAATACATTTTCTGGATTTTATTTTCTTCTTCACTCCTGACAAGGTGTTATCACCAAAACCACCACCCTCACCCATTATCCACTGATTACAGATTAGGTTATCAGTAATCTTTCAGACTCTTTTTATAGCTGACCCTATTGACACACTTACACTGGCCACATCCATTGTTGAACCAACCTGTCATTAATAAGATCAACTGGGAAACAAAGACTGACAATTGCTACTTATCAAAAGATTCTGCAAATAGCCACATGGTCTTGTAATCTCGTCAGATATTCAATAAGGCCCCAAGTGAATTGAGGATCTGGCAGCTGTTTGACCCTGCGTACACACTCTTGCTGCCAATCAGCTCTGTAAGCCTGGGGCATGGGTCACATACATTAATCTCTGATCTACAGTGTTAAGCCTACCCCATGGGTGGCATTAGCTGACCAAGTGATAAAATGTCTTGATTTAGGACTTGTGTAATAATTAATTCCTGATAAGCCATTCCTTAACTGATGGTGAAATAGTTACTTTGGCTGTAGTGTACTGACATCCATTCCTGATGTTGCCTTCATAGATGCTGATGATAATGGCAAAATACAGTTTCAGTACAGTAGACTCAAAGGTATTTGCTACTGATTGTGATTTGTATTTTGCTTTTTTTAAATAATATTCTCTGTATATTCTCTATTATGCTTCCTACTAAACGCACCCTGAGCGACTTCTAGAAAACAATAGAGAGAATAGAGAATAATTCTTTATGAGTGCCGTGATAGTTCGTTTTTTCATGTATATATTACAGATTATTGTACAGAAAAACAGCAGTGAAGAAGGGGCATGTCCTCTTATAAAGAAAGTAAGGGTTTCACACTGATGTTAAAGTTCGGACTAAATTAGTTCTCTTCCAATCGATCCCTGACAATAAATTTCACTTGTTGTGTATGGTTTTAATAAGCTCCTCCCTTGTTAGTTTTCTAGGCATCCAGGGTGCTTATTACAGCAGATATGGTAATAGTTTTAGAAACATGGAAATTTCAGTGCTTTTACTTTGATTGGTATTAAGAATAGATAAACATTTCATTGAAGAACCATTTATAATTTCAGACTTAGATATATATGAATTATTTTTTTTGTATGCAAATTTCTTTTAACATATGTTCCATAATTGTATGATATATATTCTAAAGGGATTTTGATTTATGACAGCAGACATTTCAAACGTGGTAGGAATTAATGTTTTTCTGTTAGAAGATTATAAGCTCAGAAGTTGAGCAAGTTTAGCTTGTCATGTTTACACTCTGTGTCCTTGCTGGGTACATGTTCGTTAATGTATAAATCCCTGAATGGACAGCATGCCCACTCAACAGATGGGAGCATCATCTGTGAGTGCCACGACACAATGCCACAAGATTTGCACATGTCTGTGTAACTGTGTATGATTGTTTTATGGATTAGGGCTACACTAGTCATTGATCTGACACAGTGAGCACACAGTGGCAACATAGACAACCCTGCTGGAGGAGGCTGTGCCGATGTCAGGCTGCATGTGGCTACAGCTGGCTCATCTGTACCCTCAGTTAGAATAGATAGTTGAGTGACCTAATTACTTAGTTGTTTCAAAACATACAGACAGGTACAGGGACTGTCCTAGTTAGATGCTGTCTTATTAATTATTAATAAAAGTCAAGGGGTCCTTGTCATTGCTCTTACAGGGTCAGCAGAAGTAGAAACTAAAAGGTTTGATCCACTAGTAATTATAATGATGACATATAGCAAAACCCTTAAAAAGGGCAAATTTCTACTAGTCCTAATGATACCTTAACTACTGGGCAGTTTGGCAAGGACTACAGGACTAGTGCCAATTTCTAACGCTGGTAAGACACATCCACTAGTCCGTTAGACCGAGACCAGTGAAGATCCTAAGGGACTAGATGTTTTCTATCAAGATTGAGATATTTTGCATAAATTACTAGTCCGAAATGAACTCCTTACTACATTGTTGTGAGCCCAGTGGTTTCCATCCCTGCCTTATGCTAAAACTTAAAGATTCAGAGGTCATCCCTAGATTATAATAATAATAATGTGAGCTAATCTCAAGGACTCAAGGATTCCTCTTAATTTAAACACTGTTGACATGGTCAGTAGGTTTTTCTCACAAATGTGCATCCAGTACACACAAATGTTGAGATTGGATGCAGAAAAAGAATATACTGCGTCCCGAGGGCCACACAATAATATTCATTGTACCTACAGCACATCAAGAGCAGTTATGGTTGTCTGTCATTTCATCCATCAGTCATGACAACTGTCCCCATGATCATTGATTCATTCCAGACTCTAAAGCAATTATCAAAACTTATTGTCCACTACACCATTTCATTACTTTACAGGACCCTCATATTGCTTTCAAGGACCCTTAAAAGTAATTAATGGGGGTCCCCTTGACCCCCACTTTTGTAAGTCAAGCTTAACCCTGAAAATATTTAATTGGTCTCGATTAGAACACCATGGCAACAAACCATGACATGCCCAACATAATCAAGACCCTTCCTTGGCTTCAAACTCAGTCATTATATTTCTCCTTTTTCGCTTATAAATGAACCTTATTTGGCATCATGTGACTGCCATATGAAAGATAAATTAACATTTTTGTGGCCTTGTGTTCGAACAATGCCCCGCTTTTACAAAGACTGACATGGGATGAGTTGCAGGAAGTAAGAGATCCGTAATGTGAATATTTAGGTTGTTGTTTCACAGACAAGTCCTTGGTAGCATGATCTGTTGCTGTGACCAGAGCCCATATGTACCATGTAGAACCTTGAGGATTCTGGATCAGAATGTTTGTCCCCAATAACCTGTGCTAGTCTGTCATGAGAGGCGACTAAATGGATCGGGTGGCCAGGCTCTGTGACGTGGATGTTTGCATGTCATGGTATCCCAATTGAGTGGATTGATGTTCATGATGTCAATCACTGGATTGTCTGGTCCAGACTTGATTATTTACAGATCGCCATCATATACCTGGAATATTGCAGTGTGGCATTAAACAACAAATAGTCTTTTCAACCTTCTGACTATTGTAAGCCTATGTTAAAGTATGGGAGTTACGATGATCCTAGTGCTCTGACTGTTGTAAGCCTATGTTAAAATTTGGGAGTTACGATGGTCCTAGTGCTCTGACTATTGTAATGTAAGCCTATGTTAAAGTTGGGGAGTTACAATGGTCCTGGCGCTATGATAGCTTTATGCAAGTGGGTCCTGATGATAAAACATGACCTTATCATGAGTTAGTTTTAGTTTTGTTTTATGTCATGTAATAGTATGGCCAGCAATGGCAGTATTTAAAAATTCTTGAACTTGAAATAATATTTGATGGGAATGTTTGAATATTGAAGGAATGTGTGTATTTAATGAAATACACCACTTTGGATGGCTTGTGCTAATTTACATGTAAAAGCATTTTATAATTGAAAAAGTAAAACCGTATAAAATATAAAAAGTTTAAGGCAATTGTGGTATTTCACATCAGTGTTAACATTAAACATGAAAGCCCTTGTTAAAACACTTAGTGTTAAGAGTCACTTCTGCTTATAGATTAATGTTTTTTAACACATCCATGAAATTTTAAAAGCTTTATGAATTTTTAAACTGACCACAAAAGGTTTTGATCATGTGGTATATTTAGATATGCTGTACTCTGAAACCAGTGATTAAGCGTTGACACAAACTGTCAAGTGTTTTCTTATTACTTCTTTGTATGTCAGTGTTGGAAAAAAGTGCTGCCTGTAGGCCCGCGGCTAGTAGATGTTGCATCAGGCTCGCAGTTCCACAGTTGTATGGGTCCTTACGGCTTGCACATTATTTACATGTGGATATATTTGTTGCAGTAAGCTGCAGTTTTTTAAATGAGGGCCAGAAGAGTTTAGTCAGGGCCTGCAGCTTCTAAAGTCTGTGGGTCCTGATGGCAGCAGCGGTAGAAACTAACATTTTTAGTCTATTGGTCCTTATTATGAAAACATACAGCCCAACCCTTAAAAATAGCAAATTTCTACTTGTTCTTATGATACCTTAACGATTGGGCAATTTGGCAAGGACGATGGGACTAGTTCCAATTTCTATTGCTGGGCAACCTGGCAAATAGTTTTATTTCACACTCTGCCGGATGTATTTATCATGTACAGTGTTTGTATGTAACAAAAGTCTGCTAGTCTGGGACAAGTAAGATTCGGGAAGCATTAGTGACATACCCTTGTGGATGACCACTTATACCAATAGGTAAATGGCAACTCTGTAGTAGAT